GTGTAAAACCCTCTTGCATTTTTTTTTTTTATGTTGGGCTCCTCTGAGATATCCATTATCTTCCTTCCATAACCATTCACATAATGAACTTCTTTGTTATTATTTTTGATGTCTGTTCCCCTCTCGATATCTCACAGTATACTGGTTATGTTAGTTTTGAAGAATTATGGTATGGTAGATATTGTTAGATTGAGCTTTATGAGAGTGAAATCCAGAATTATAAAGTTACCAAAATAAATGATGAGAGGGGAGGTAGTATGTTCTTTTGTTTAAAAAACTCACAAAGAATGCTGCTTCCCAGGTTTGCCCTCTTTTATCTGTAGGCTTGCAGTTTTTTGTCATGTTAGCGTTGAGGCTGCAGATAATGGTTTTTTTTTAACTTCTGATATTACAAAAAAAAAATGTCAGAAGATAAATAAATAGAATTCCATTCCAAGCTGGCATGTAAGAATTATATATATATATATATATATATATATATATATATATATATATATATATCAACAGTAAAAATAAAAAGATTAAGTTGAGTTCGCAATCCTAGGAAAATTATTTTTGAGAATCTGATAAACAAAAGATTTTGAATTTACTTTTCAAACTTATTGCTGAGGAACTTGTTTTTAAATTATTGCTACTTCTTTGGTTTTAAACCTTGTTCCTCTGTCTGCCAGGTTTGCCCAGCATTATGTCTACCCCCAGACGTTCCTCCAGCCCAGCCTGGTCCTTCAGTCCCAGCTCAGCCCCACAGCAGCAGCACTCGCCTCCCCCTACCTGGACTACAGCTCTGCATACAGCCACTATGCCCCCACAGGACTGGAGCAGTACCCTTACACCTCTTCACCGTCGCCCTCGGGTGCCTACCTCAGCTACAGCTTTTCCCCGGGCAGTACGGCGCCTGCTCTCACCACATCTCCAACCCCCCCAGCTGCCATCCACCCTCCTCTAGCTGCACTCGCCACTATGTCTGCCGCTCCGCAGGCCTTTCTTCATTACCCACTGCACCAGCCTGACCGCATGCAGTGAGCTGCCCTGCGCGGAGCTGGAGCTGCCAAACTGATGATTCAAAACAATGTGACTCTTGGCCTGTGACTGGATAGCCAGGAAGAGAGTTTGTTAAATCAAAAGGGCTTTTAGAGAGTACTTTTATTCCTGTTTTTATATATATTATTGTTTTAATAGTTAATGAAAATGTTCTACTGCTACAGTCATCAGCATAAATCTGAATGTTTTTCAAAAATGTCAGAAGTAGGGGACCAGTATGTGACAATAATCTACTGGACAATTTTGCCCTATACGCCTGAACCTTAGTGCTGAGGCTGGAAACAGCTGGAGAGCGGCTCGGTAAAAACAATAAGAAATATGCCTGACATGATGCTGCAGCTGCAGTTTCTCCAAAGGTACTGGACTGAATGCTGGATATTAGCCAAGCGGAGAGCTAGTTTGTCTTTCTGAAACGCTGGTCCAATAACCTTCTTCTTTAGGTTACATTTCTGTCTATGGCCTTAGAGATCTCTCACTCCCTCTGTACCATGTTCAGTTCGTCATTTGTATTCAGTCTCTCATCTTGAAATGGGTAACATTTTCTTTACAACCCCCCTATTTTCCTTCTATCTCCTGGCAAGCCATTGCACAGTGATAATCAAAGTTTAGATTAATATGCAATTTAAATGATAAAGGTCGACCCTTAATAAGGTAGAATACACTGCTATATTGTTTCTTTGTTATACTTCGGCTTGAACAATACTCAGAAAATTAAAACACAATAGCCCTGACATAAAGCGGCTAATGAGGCTTATTTGACAGGTTACTCTTGGATTTGGTATAGGGGAAAGTTTGGTTTTGTGAAAATATAATTACAAACTTGCATATCAGGTTAATGTATCTGTAGGTGTTAAGATGTTAGTTGTCACTGAAAATGTGTGAGAGTATTTGGTGTCTGTGGTTGAGTGAGTGAGAGAGAGACATAGAGCAATGCAGTGTCAGGACCGAGCTCCTTTCCAGTCCATTGTACTGCTCAGTGTGGTTTCTTTGTTGTCCAAGCCTCAGAATACAGACGGATGCTTTAATGATGACAAGAGGTTCACAGTGCTTTGGCATAACTTTAGTCATCTCATAAACCAATGCCATAAATGACATTTAGAAGAAATATGCAAAATAAAAGGAATATTTCTAAGTAAGGCATGCAATTTGTTTTCTCTGAGTGTGATCAATTAACAAATTCATTGGGGTTCAAATCTGGGAGACCTCTGCTAAAAGGCAGACGCCTGGAGATTTAAAAACATTAAGTCTTCAGCTGATAATTTCAAGCCTGTATCTTACTTAAATTAGCTATAAAAAAAATCCATTACTTTCTGATATTATTACCGTCCTTTATCCAATAGTCATTTTTCAAGCATTTTAGCTTACTTTTTTAATTTCAATTATTGTGGCCTGGTTCAACAGTTGTTTTTAAAAGTAAATGTAGGTAGTTAGTATTGCATTACTTAGCTATTTTATCTGTTAACCAATTAACTGAGGTAACTTTTTAAAAACTTTTTTCAATTTACTTTTCTCTCACCCTTTTCAAAATAAAAATAAGAAAAGATATCCATTGATTTACATTTTAAATTTAAATTTATCCATTAGCAATAAGTTGCTAATGGATAATGGATAATAGTTAATTAATTCCCATGACTGAAGCAAATTATTTATTTTATTTAGTCATTACTTTTAGGTTTTCAAAATGCTCTTTCAATGCTGTTAGCCATTTCTACTTATTTTTCCTTTTAAAAAAATAAAGCAATTTTTTTAAGAAAAAGTTATTGATTACTTGTGAAATAATAATAATATTAATAATTATATCTGTTTTTGTTTAGGACTTGTTCTTTGTTGTAAGTAGTAACTTCCGGTCTGTGCCTGTTTACCCTCCTGGCAGATATATCCCCAAGGTAAATCAGAAAGTTGCCACTTCATTATATCATTCTTTACTTTGTTTTGTTCAAATTTAATAAACAAAGTATACAATTCCATGTAAATCTAAATTAATTTATTTTATATAACTGGACAGAGCCATGCTGGCTGTCAAGACGTGTTTTCATTGCATTGTTCGCTGTTATTGAATATTCGGGAATTGTTAAGTAAAAACAATGACTCAAACATACAAACCATGCTAATGGATAATCACATGACTCATATAACATGTACGATAACACGCCTGTGATATTCCTACTTTTTTTTTTGAAAAATTGCATGACGAAACTGACAATTATACATGGGACATGATCTGCAGTTTTTAGAAAAATGGCCCTCAAACTTACTGATGTAGCCCACTTGTTGGGAGATATTTCTATCTTTGGATTTTTTTTTTATCTTTGTTTTTTTATTTAATTTATTTTTTTACAACAGAGAAGTTATGTGGCACAGCAGAAAATGATATATAGGCTATCCCAGACCATACTTGATAGCAGGAATAATTTATTGTTGTTTTCTGATTGTGTATGCAATTGTTTACCCTAAGCTAAAATTAGAAAACCGTATTATTATTATTATTTTTTTTTCAGGGCCTTGAAGGTGGAATTACATTTACAGCTGCAATGAACAAGACCAGAGGCAACTGGAAGATAAACATAAAATGTCAGTTTTAACCACATATCTTATCAAACATGAGTATAATTCCCGCCTATGGGTGAACCCTGTCGTACCCAAACATCTCCTCCCTTCACTACTTCTCCCTACATACTTCAAACTTCAAACCTTTTTTTTACCACTGTGAAAACCACTGTTATTTATATAGTTAATTTTCTTTTAAAAAACATTACTATTTGAAAGTGAGGCTCTCGGTCTCAAACTATGCTCTCACAGATGAGCTCTCATCGCCCCCTCCTGGTCAGAATTATTAAATGCAGCACACATTTTGTCCATGCTCAACAGCTCCACCAAATGCAACTTTAAAAGGAACAAGAATGACCCATACCATGTACCAAGTTTTTATGTTTATTTTCATTGAAAGGTTTTGAAACACTTTGTGCTCCCAATAAGGATCAAAAAATAAAAGGAGACTCAATGTAAAGCTTGCACAGCTGGTCTGCAATGAACAGAACTACTATCAAAGTCTGGGATACAACATTTTCTTTTTGGTTGCGCTGGTTCGTCACAAAGAAGCAGATGTTTTATGTAAAAATGAAATCATAGCGAATACCACAGTGAGGGGAAGAGATTTGATCATGTCTTTAAAACTGTTGACATCATTAACGAAGTTAATATTACATAACAGGAGAGCGGTAATGAAAATAAACTGAAATAAAAAGTACTGTATCTGCAATCTTGATCACACACATAACACACATATACACACTCACTTGCAAACAAGCTCATACGCACAGGCAGGCGCACACATGCACACGCTCACTCTCACACATATGAACTGCAGAAGTGTCCACACACACTCACACACAAACATAAACCCACAGATAAAATGTAGTGGTTGAAAATATTGAAACCCTGGAAAAATCTAATCGTATCATACATCCACGTCTTGTGTCTGAAGTGCAGAAAACAAAACTAAAATGGAGATAAATCAGATGAATAATGTAAATCATGCCCATCTTCACTGGTCTAACCCAACTTGAAACGACCACAAACCCAGTGTTGCCCCTTCTAGCTTACCCAAATCCCAACCCCCACACTTCTTCTCCACCCTCACTTGCCCCATGCTCTCTTACTCTTTTCATATCATACCCGCATCCCTTAATAATAACTGTAATCCTGCCCCCACACTTCCAACACCTGTCTCCCCAAACCTCTCTGCTCTATTTCAGGATGCTGATGAAGGCTTTGCTGGGAGGAGGAAGGAGGTGGGTTTTGGCAGACAAGGCGGCTGCTGGTTTTGGTTCTGGTCACCATTTATATATTTATATATATATATATATATATATATATATATATATATATATATATATAAAAGAGAAAAAAAAACTACAATGTCCAGTTCAGAATACAGAGTGAAGACTTTTGGAGGTAGAGGAGCCTTGTTGTCTGTTCAGTTTGGAGGTTTTGAATCTGTTTGTGTGTCGGGTTTTACATTGCAAAATTCTTATGTGTTGGTTTACATGCGAGTATTTGGGTTAGTCTTGTGCAATGATGTGTGAAGGCATGGGGGGGCGGTGGAGGTAGGACTGGCATAGCTCAGGGCCCTGTCCCTCATCCCTGGGCCCCAGTCGGAGAAGGGGAGCAGGGGCAGGTTTATAGGGCTTGTGTCTTAAGCTCGATGGGCTCCCCACGGGTGTCCTGCTGGGTCTCGCTCTCTGGGGGCCGGCTGCCCTTCAGTGTGGCGAGGCGCTCTGAGAGACCCCTCATGCGCGGGAACAGCATGAAATCATACAAGAGGGCACCCATTGCACCTCCTATCATGGGCCCAACCCAGTACACCTGCAGGCAGAATTTTGTTTTTAAATCTGCAGTTTACACAGTGTTAGGTTATCCTTTCTTTCTTTCTGTTATTGCAGGTCTTACCCAGTGGTTTAAGAAGTTCCTGAAGAGCACAGCAGGGGCAAAGGACCTTGCAGGGTTCATCCCAGCACCGGTGTAGTACATCTGCAACCCAAATGATTGTCTTGTTATGGTAGTTTTTCGTTAAATTACTAAATATAATTTAATATCTGAAGGAATTGTGTTCTGCTACCACTTGGTTCTCTCCTTGGTCAAGCTTCAATAAGACATCTACAATTCATTAAAAAGACGCTTTTGTCATAAGCGTTGTACAGCTAATGGTCCTAAAAGTTCCGGAAATCTAGAGCTTCACAGCTTTCTATCACAATATTTAATGCAATAATAGTGCAATGTTTGCATTTGTCTCACCCCCATAAGATGGCCAATGGTGACGGAGAAGCCAATGGAAAGGGCAGCAGACCCCAAGCGTCCATTTCTCCTCTCGTCGGTCACAGCGAAGATGCAAACCACCAGCTGCATGGTGAGGAAAACCTCCACAGTGGTGGCCATTCCCAGACTGATGCCAGGCTGCAGCTAGAGATACACAGATGGAATTTTCTGCTTGTAATCATTGACTTTCTCTTTCATTTCTGAAACACTTTGAGTTATTAGATGCAATTAAACGTCAGGTATTTGTTCATTAAAGTAGTTTTAACAATAGCTTCAACAGTTGACCTGGATTGATTTGACCTGAGCTGATACCAAGATTGGAAACTCATGGATGAAACCAACCCCCACAAAAAAACTTTGACCTCACCTTGCAAACAATCCTACACTTGTTTCTGAAATATCCATAATGAGTTCTTACCGTGTTCATTGCCATGTTGCCCCTCATGTTTCCAGGTGTGACCCCATACAGCACAGCAGCCCCAGCCACTGCACCCAGGCACTGTGCAGCCATGTAGAAAATGGCGCGGAAAAGAGACATCTGTGAGCCGACAAGGTAAGCAAAGGTGACAGCAGGGTTAATGTGTCCCCCACTGATGTGTCCAATGGACTGGATGAGGGTGGCAGCTGCTAGCCCAAAGCACAGGGCCACATGAAGGACATGATGAGGCCCGGTGGTCCAACGCAGGGCAGCACCCATGCCGAAAAATACAAAGAACATGGTCCCGAAGAACTCTGCGAAGACCGCCCGCCAAAAATTCATGGAACGAAACTCCCACATGATGACTGTTCACCAAATGTTCTCCACAAGAAGAAAAAATATCGCAAAGATCAAATTAGGATGAGAATTTATACCTTTAAAGGTCCTCTTTTAGTGCCAAAATAACAAAATTAAGGATCTCCTCCTGTACGTCAGCTGTATGGCTGACCAAAAAAATAAAATCGGAGCCTGCTCTGAGATGAAACAGGATTTTAGAATGTCAATAGACAAATCAACAAAAACAAAAGTCAACTTAGCTGCGTTGGCTTGCCACCTCTGTCTGCCTGTTGCAAAGACATAGGTGTGATGAAATGTGGGAGTAAGGGTGGAGGTCTCAAGTGGGATGAGCTGTCAAGAGGAGGTGTGCATCAATGCTAAAGGGGTGTTTCTCAAGTAGAGAAGGGGATAGACGAAGTGTCTGGTGGACCTTTTAGCCTCTTTGACGGAGGGGAGAGGGCCAGACAGGGGCTTTATAATACCCCCCTAGGGGCCCCAGGTGACGACATAATCCCCCTGTAGGGCCAAGGGCGGGGGGTGGCAGTGCTGGACACCCTTAACCAAACAAACTTAACCCCTCCGTTGCCCCCCCCCCCCCCCCCCCCCCCCAATAACAGACCGAGGCCCAATGAGAGGTGGTGTATCTGAAAAGACAATCAGATAAAGCGAGAAAAGGTGTAAATCGATGAGTGGGAGGTGGAGAGTTTTATGATGAAGAGACAACTGGAAGTATTGCGTCTTCTCGTCTCTACAAGTTGGGGAGTGGGACACAAGGAAAGAACAGCCGGCTGGAGAAGAGCAAGTGAAGCTAAGAGGAGAAAGTTTTCTTTGGGGCGTATGTCATCTGTTGGCATATCAAAACTGTCATAATCGAGGGACACAAATGCTGATGGACAAGGACACAAAACACACATGCTTGCACAAAGACACGCACACATACACATATACACACATGCAGATAATACAGTTGGGGCCCCGGACGGAAGTGTCCAAAGCTTACAGCGCTGAACTGACCCATACATTGAAAGGCCTGACCCTGTGAAACTATTGTCTTTCCCAAACATGTGGGCCACATATAGACAAGACAAAACATATATCAATTTAAAACAAAAAGGGTAGCAGCTAGCAAAGCATTGCTTGAAATGTACAATGCTAAAGCTGTAGCTAAGAAGTGTTCAACACATGTATTGCTTCTGTTAATTATGATGTAATATAAATGGAGAAGTTGTTGCATAGGTGATTGTTAGCTCTTAGACCTGAACTTGACATTCCCCTCAGACTTTTGAGTCTTGAAGTCAGTCTATCTAGCATATAAAGAAAAGTGTGGAAAAACCAAACTTCAGAAAAGCAGGAATTCATAAAACACGGGGAGTGTGTATTCTTTTCCGAGGGGCTTCTTGGAGATGCTCTGCAGACGCTTTCAGTTTGTGGAAGTGTATTTGTCTTTGTGTGTGTTTTGCAGAAGGACGTACGACCAAAGCCCTGAAAGTTCTGTGTGTTAGGAGCTAGGGAAATGGGAGGTCCAGTAGAGCTGACCAGTCCAGAGACATCATCGTTGGTGGAAGTGTGTGTGTGTGTGTTTGTGCGCGCGTGCATGTGTTTGGGGGGGGGGGGGGGCGGTTAGAGAGGCGAGGCAGGGGGTGATGAAAGCAGAATGCTGAGCTTGCCGTTTTAACACCCTTTTATACATGTTAGAAAGAACACACACAATGCAAAATGCTGGCTGCAATGTGGCAGTAATTGTGTACCGTGTGTGTGTGTATGTGTGCAAGTGTGTGCGTCTCTGTGTGTATGAATAGTTAATGTTTGAGTATGCTTGCACTCTGCATGAGTATTCAAATCACACTGCTAGATGATAAGATTGCTAACCCAGTTTTTGTCTTTTAGACTGTAAAATACAAAAATGTATAGACTCAAATATTAACAATTATACACAATAAATATTTTCTTTATCATAACAACTGTTTTTTATTACTTAGCACTAATAGATAGGCGCTGAGGAGTGGTGGGTATAAAACCATTACAATGTGAAACATGAGTTTATTTTTGTATTTTGGGGGGGAAAAAAACATATTTCAGTACAGGACAAAGATGGGGACTTACACTCAAACCCCACAAATACAAATAAAGGCTGAGTAATAACATGGAGTTCTGTCTCTTACAAATCCAAACACACAAGAGTGTACACGCTTGTACGTTCAATGCGGTCCATTTTAAAGAACAAAGCTTGTGTTCTATGTGTGGAGCTATTAGAGGTATGAAGGTTCATTTGATTGTGAATAGGTACCACACAGGCATATATATGAAAGAGATGTTAGGCAAATTAAGAGCATCATTGAACCGAGGGAGCAGGACCTCTTTAGCATTTCAAAGCAATCACAAACATGGAATGAGACTGTCAAACACGAGGAGACACAAGGGTGTTTTTCAACATGATTTCAATTTGAAATTCTAATAATGTGCAAATGTGAACTCAACGATACTGGATGCAGCATTATTGGCTACTACTTTAAATTCTCTTGTGACAGGCAAGCATGGGAAACCTGCAGCCCATCTAAATGACGCACCAAGCTTATGAAACAACTATGATGGGGGCCTAAAAGATCTCCTCATATTGTTGGAATTTATAAAGTAAATCTGTGTTTTATTTGACAGAAGAATTTATGTTGTTTTTTTTAGGAACAAATACATAAAGAAATCCTATACTCAATTAAATCCTAAACAGCTGCAGCCTCACTTGGTCTGGTATGACCAATAGTTTTGAATGGCTTTTTTTGCTTATAAAATATTTAGATGTTAAATGTTATATAAAACTTTTCTTTCTCACTCAATCGTTACAGTTGGGTTTTGCTTGGTGACTAATATTCTATCCTAGGCTCTAAGAAAGTAAAGTCTGCGTTTCTCTCACAATTATCAACATTAATTGACAACAGATGAATCGAATTTAGACCTTTATGACCTACAAAAGCAAAGAGGACCATCGGCAAAAAGATAGACTATTTCTAATAGTTCATTACTGCACGTTGCCCCAACAGCTACATTTTTCAGTGCAAAGATTTTTTTTGTTTGAACACGACTTACACACACGTTCAAGACAAAATCAACAGAGATAAGATGTACAGCTTTGTCCAGGAGGCACCAAAATGGACACGGGAGCTTTAAGAACAACATGAAGCGCCTTCTGATCAAACATTAAATGAGTCACATTTACATTTAATCTTCTATTGTTCAGTTGCTCCTCCTAAACTTCAGCCTGCCTCAAATTGTCTCTGAAGGTATAACTCCTTGTGTATATGAAGATGTATCTTTATGACTGGACTTACATTTTTAATTAGCTGTTTTAAACAAAACAAAAATCTATTTTTAAATTACACATTTTCCTCACAATTTCCGCTACTGTATCTTTTTGTAAGTTATATGATTTATTTTTTTAATACTAAATGGGTTCATATTTGAACAATGTAACTTTCACAGCTGCTGGCACAGATGCATCAATGATGAAAACAACTATTGATCTGCACCCAATGCATCTTCCTAGAGAGTCACTGCCATACTGCAGGATGCTTCTATGTAAAAGAAGTTGTTTTCTCAGTTGTTTTCTTGCTTGTTGGCCTGTTTGGCTCTGATGGCGTTCTGTGTGACAGTTGAAAGTGATGATCCGGTCATGCTGGCTGTCTCAACAATCTCAATATCCTTACAGGTCAGACAGGCCACCAGCTTCTGGCGAGATGCACTGAGCGAAAAGAAGAACTCATGGGAAACTCCGGCCAGTATAGCACCGAGCACTGGCCCGATCCAATAAACCTGAAGGTGGGGGGGGGAAACAGAATATACTGAGAGGAGGCAGAGGAAAGAAAGAAATCAGTATAATCCAAGAGAAATATACAAGCAATAGGTGACTTAGAATAACCCAAATAACTGCTTGGTTTTACACATAAAGCAGTATTTATTGAGACTGCCTTGGACCAATAATGTCACCCTACTTTTAAGTAGTATAAACACAATGTTTGAATTCCCCCTTTTAATTAAAAATGGTGGCAGTGGTCAAGGAGGAAGACCTTGTTGTCCAATCATCAGAAAACTTCAAGATAAATGTAAGGCTAACAATACATGTAAACCAGACATCATAACTACTTAAACAAAGACAAGAAAATGTGACATATCTTGCTGCTCGGAGTATAGAACTGGAGTATAGAAGTACTTTGTTAACTTCTTTCATTGCGCTTGCATCTGATGATACTTCTAAGATGTTTTAATAAAATGGGAAAGTCACTTAGACAGTTGTTACCATGGAGACAGATAATGACTTTAAGCCTCTCTCTCACCCAGTGGTTTTCCCAGAAGCCAGTGATGATAGCTGGACCCAGAGAACGTGCAGGATTCATACTCCCACCAGAGAACCGCCCCTGACACAAAAACAACACGGAAACAAATAATTAATACAATCATTGGTTTATTTTGTACAGTGTGCTGCATTTGACCTCTTTGAAGTTACTCACTCATTTTAATGACCTCTTCATGCCTTTTTAGACGCAGAAGGTTTTTTTGGATTAAGGTGAAAATATCCTCCGCCACAGACACACAGTGTATGACATTGTCCAGTGTACTTACCTGGACACTGGAAGCTCACCTGGTTAAGCGAGTATCATTAAAGTGTGAGCGCTTAACACTGTGATCAGGGTTAAATTACAACCCAGGCCCTTTGATGCATTTGCAACACACTCTCTTCCTCTTACTTTCTTTGCACTGAAATGATATGACAACGAACCAACAATCTCTTGCTTCAATAAAATACCTGAATGGCCTTCTTACCCCTATTAGCACTCCGGCTGTGTGGGCAAATCCGATGGCGAGGTTTCCTGGTTCTTGACTTTCCCTTCGTCGCTGAGCCTCTACAGAAAACACAGTAAAGACCAACTGGAAGGTGCATAAAACCTCTATGCCCAGAGCCTGCGCTGCATTCAGCTCTAACGGAACCTGAGGGAGGTTTAAGAGAAGCAGGAACGAGGACAACTTTAATCAATCAATCTTTATTTGTAAAGCTCAAATTCATAGCAAATGTTATATCATGACACTTCACAAAAAAGAGCAGGGTTTCTTATATTTTACTATGAGTAAATAATACTATATTTATTTTATATGAGTGGCATTTTTACCAAGAATGACAAAAGATATAAATCGTAAAAACTAATCATCTTAAAACTGACCCTGTTGACGAAGTGCTCTGCTGTGGTTTTGAGTGGCAAGGCCAGGTAGAGGGCCCCAGTTCCCAAAGAAGCCCCCAAACACTGTGCAGCTATATAAACAAAGGCCCGGAGAACATCCAGCCTCCGAGTGGCTAACAGAGACAGAGTCACTGCAGGGTTCACCTGATCAGAAAGAACAAGCACAAACTCTTAGACAAAGTATGATATCATCTATGATGAAATAACACAAAAAGTAAAACGTAATAGTGAAAGTTAGCTCAGTTTATTACTAAGGGACTTGTACTTTCCTTGAATATTTCCAATTCTTGCTACTTTTCACTGCTACACCAAAACATTTCAGAGGAAGATATTTTACTTTTAGTTCTTTACATTCATCTGGCAGCTGTGATTAGTATTCACTTTTCTTATAAACTGGTATAAACTGGGTTGTGACTCCTCACACCATCAAAAACCAAGTGTAGTTGTAGCAGCTTGACAGTTGACACACATTTCAGGGGTCTATGGTCCAATTAAATAATGCTTATTTGGCCAAGCTCCTAGTTTTGGAGAGCCCTTGACTGGGTAGTGGCCCTTCAGAAAAGGGGTAACAACAGTTTAAGGTATTTTCCTGAGGCTACATGTGATCTCATATTTCAAGCTTTCTACATGTAAAATGTCTCTTTACAAATAATTGCTCACATAAAGTTCTATTGACATCATAAAAAAAAGATATTCCAAGATATTTTTTAAGTTTTGCATGGTTTTCTGCAAAGAAAATTGTCTTCATTCCTTCACCTTTTGCCCTAGCTTCTGAGTCTCACTTGAAGTCTGTATTTGAAAACATTCCATTTAGAGGATTGTTTGAAGATGAAGATTAGCCTATGATTTGTAAGCAGATTAACCAAATAGAAATTTCTCCTGTACTTTTCTCATATGTTTTCATAACTCTCCCAAAGAGGTCAAATTGTGCAATATTTGAAAATGACCAAAAAATCTGCACAGATTTGAGTATTTGTTTTCTCTTCTTGCCCCATCTTGTGACCTTGTTTGGGACAAAGGTCACAAGACGGGACTATACTACCTGACTGTAAATAGTATAAGCAGTTTCAACTAATACTGAGTAAATTAAATGGATGTCTTGGTATTTCGTTATAATAATGTAATATATATATATATTATGGTACAATATATTATGATTTAATAATATAATCACATAATGAGCAATAATTGCAACAATGAGTAATCCTTTTTTTAGACTCTAAACACATCCAACTAAGGTACTTAGTAACTTGTGGTACTGTTTTTTTTTTTTAAAGTAATGACTACATCACAAATAACTGCTGTGTTACCGACAGAAAAGGGTTGGTCAAATAAGTCATTCAAACGAATGTTTGCCTATTAGATACTCACCTGCGCCCCACTTATTTCTCCAAAACAGTGTGCCACTGCAACAATCACCACTCCCACTGCTATAGCTGGGTAAAGGGGTCCCACAGGGCCCTCTCCTAGGCCCGGAACTGATGCCCCCAGCACAGCACTCACTAAAACCAGTGTGCCCAGCAGCTCTGCCATCATGGCACGCCAGAACTGACGACTGCGTAGCTACACAGGTAAAGCACATAAACAAACGTGATGTATTTGTTGATTGTAGTGCGCTTCTATCTAGACTTTATGCTGATGATTATGTTTATCTACTGCTATGAAAAGCTGCAAAACATTTAAACATGACATCACTTATTTGATCTCTTAATGTAAAACAAACAAGTCCATTTAACTTGTATATTAACCATTTAAAACCCTGGATATTAACACTATTACACATTTTCTTTGATGTGTTCTTGACAAAAATGCATTAAAATGCTAATGCTAACATTAACACTTCATAACCACAATGGCTTGTAAGAGTGCAGCTTTTCTGGAACAATTCAAAATACCATATAATTCTCACATAAATTAGGCACTTTTTCTTAATTTAAAAATAAATAGATATGCAAATCATTAAGATTTTAACACTAAGGTATTGAAATAATATGTTTACCTCATGCCACGTCATTTCCACCTAAATGAATATGTTATCCTCAGGTTTATGCTCTCTCTGTAGGTCCTTCTGTCTGTCCGTCGGTCTTTCTGTGAAGGTTTCAGGGTCTGAGGGCTTCAGGGTCTCTGCCTCATCCGTCAGCAACTTGTAGAGCCTGAGAGGTCTTTGATGAGATAAGCCTCCCACCTCCCCTTTTTCAGTCTCTCTCGCTCTCTCTCTCTCTCGTTCTCTCTCTATCTTTCACCTTACCCTCTCCTTACCCAGCACCTCCGGCCCTATCAAATCGTCCTCTGCACAAACATTAACAAGTGGGAGCCCTTCAAAGGTGTCTCTCCAAGGTTTTTCGTATAACACTGACCCGATCCCACCCACCCACCCCCCCCCCCACCCCTCACTCCATCCTGCCGACCTTGAACAATTTAATACATCTTCAGAAAATCATCATGAGCCTTTCACTTATCCTTAAACTCAAGTGATTGTGGCCACTTCAGAGGCTTGCACAATGGTTGAAAAAATGCAGCGAGGGCATAACATAATGTAACCACTTGTGACAAAGGGTGACATAACTTAATCAGATTTATAAAGCACTGCAACTAATGTGGAGCATTTAGAGTTGAAGTGCCAGCTGGAAGCATCTGAAAGCTTTGAGTGATGTCTGTCAGTCAGAGACGGGGACAAATGCTGCATACGAGAAGTATCTTGTTTAAAATGAAATGTATTTGCCATTGTGATAAAATGTAGAAATAAAAATAAACATGTACATTCTTGTTAACTGAAACCTAAGCATTTAGTAGTCTCAATATTTGCCAGTTCCAGACCACATGTATTTGATAATTACTGACTGCTCTTTTTATTACAAATCACCAGATCTTTGTTTTGACCACTTTAGTCCTTTTACATCTCTGGCCTCCTCTGGTCTTACAATTTTTAAAACTGGGGCGCCGTAGGCCGAGTGGTTGGGGGTTGTACCCCATGTGCAGTGACTGTGGTCCTCGAGACGGGCGGCCCAGACTTGTGGTTCCTTTTCCAGCATGTCATTCATCACTCTCTCTGTCCCTGATTTCCAACTCTATCCACTATTCTATCTCTACAATAAAGAGCCTAAAAATAATTATTTAATAGAAAGAAAGAATTCTGAACCCTATTCCAGGAAAACAGGTACTGAGAATGTTTGCCCATTAAGATAGTTTAATGAATAGACATGGATGCTGGGGGGGCCACAGAGAAGGCATATATCAAAGATTCTGGTGTCATCGGCCCATCTAATGTCTGTTCATCTAACGGCATTTAAGAAATAGGCTTGCAGGACCCCACTGTATACCTCCTAGTAAACTGAGTATTGGCATCTATAATCTATATGAAGGTTTAAAGCAGCAAAAGGAAGCGAGGTGAAGTAGAATTTATTATAACAATCTCAAACACTCAAGATCCAAATCTGGGTCAACACAAAAATCTGTAAGCCAAAATAGTTCTGCTTGAGTTGAAAACTAGAGTACAGCTGATTCATATGGAAACAGCATAACACAGTTCCTGGTAGCCTGCTAGCTGTAGTTATTGTAAGCCCCCGAGGCACGGAGCACAGGACAGATGTAGGTTACCTTCAGCTCAGGTCAGGACGATAACTTGCATATTAATGGAGATGGCTAAGACAGTTCTCCTCATCATCATCATCAGCCTTATAGTCCTCATTAACATTTGTTTGGCTTCACATTGTTTTCATCCCGTTTGAATTCTCATTTTAGAATTAGCTGCACCACAGAGTTCACTAATTTGTTAGAGATAACATACAGCGGCCCAAAACGCACAATCTACAATCCACGATCTTCAACCCATCTTCATTTCAAATCACAACATGCATACATATTAGAGAATTTGTGGCTTGTCCCTTCTTGTTCCCCTGTTGAGCTGAATTGCGCTTGCACGTCCTGAGCACCTGGCACCTCATTTTCATATCAATTAGAAGAGAACGGACCACACGCGGCATTTCGCCATCAAATATACTTAGATGTAAACAAAAAACAATGTCTGTCTGTCTTTTTATAATGCCTTTAACAGTCTAGGTTTGAGGGGAGAGAGAGGGGCTTTCCAGCAAAGAGTAGCAAAAGAAAAACAATCAGAATCAATGTGCATCTTTCGCTAAACCGAAAGAACTAGACTATGATGTCCTCCCACCCACCTTTCTGTCCCTCCACAGTCTACTTATGAGGTCCTGCTCTGATCACCATGGGGACAAACTCTTTCATGATGCGGTTACCATAGCACCTATTGTGATGCTGCATCTGTGCATGCTTCTATTTTCAGTCTTTCATTTGCAACAAACACGCACCTTGTGATGATGTGTTACAATAAAAAAAAGGCAGAATTCCTCCGATAAACTGACGATGAAAATATCCACAATAACCAACAAGTCTTGGTTTATTGCCAACATCTGATTATTGATGTGTTAAACATGTAACTGCCCCCCTCCTCCTCCTCCTCCCTCCTCCCTCCTCCCATTGCAGCAGGAATATCAAGGCAGTGGACATAATTTTGGTAGCAATATTCTGCATCGAAACAGACTCCAGAATGAACTGGTTGCAGGCTTTGAGGGGGGTTGTGGGGTTCTGGCGAGCCCCCATTATGCCGTGGATCACCCCCTCCTCTCTACGGCAACTGTTTAACCGTTATCCCCCCTTTTGTGGGGCTAAGCCTGACTGTGTGGAGTGTGCTGGGCGGGGGGCACACTGGAACCTGCTGGCGTGGGGAGTTTTCAGCCCCCTTCGCGCAGAGTGCTGACACTGACACAATTTCCCACACACAAATATATACACACACACACACACACACTCTCCAAAAGTGCCAGCTCAAGGATTTGAGAGAGCCATAGAGGGCAACGGGAGAGGGAGAATGTACCATGAGACCAAAAACACTTTGTCTGTCTAACGCTAATTATTTATGTCCGTTTAATGTGCTTTTTAGATTCAAAGGTAGAATATAAGTGTGTGTGTGTGTGTGTGTGTGTGTCGCTCTTATGTCTGTTCCTCTGAAGAGCAGCTGGGAGTGATGGTAGGACGTTCCCTGCAGCATGTGCCTCAGACAGGACCCTCCAGGTAGCTGCAGAGCCCCGCCCACATACTTCAACATGTTTCCATCATTGTTTAAGTGCTCATTTTCCCCTTCAATGTAAAAGTTCACAGTAGGCCTGTGTTTGGATATACTCAGAGTTATAGTAGAGGTATGAGGTTAAGGATGTGTGAGACTTTAAAAAAAAATGTATATATATATATATATATATATATATATATATATATATATATCCCCTTGCCATTAAAAATAGGTGTTTTAAAAGTTTGACTTTATTTTCATGTATGCTGCTGTTGTGTTGAGAATACACAAGTAGGAGGACATAACCTGTTGGCACCCCCAAATGTACCTCACAATTCATACTTTATTTATTTTGACAAATATTAAGTGTTTCATATTTGTGTATGAAATGTGCTTATGAGTGGTCACGAAACACCAAAAAACCCATCAGTCAATCCGTTTATTTCTAATAAATTATTGACAATGAACTTAGTAGCGCTAATACATATATGAATAATACAGACATGGTCGGTCAGGTTGTTTTTTAAGGCATGTTGGCTTGTGGTCTAACGTGCCCGGTTTTGTAAATCAACAAGGAGAGGGATTACTGCATATACACTTGAATATGATGCTTTACAGGCGTCTCATAAATTAATATACATCTTTCCCTTCAATGAGGGATTCTTTTTCTTTTGCAACAGTCCGCCTGTTTATTCTTTGATTGTTTGATTGGTGAATGGTAGAATGATTAGTGCTGGTTCACAGAGACTGTGGTGATATAATGGCTTATTTTGTGTGATCTACTTCATGTCTTTTATGACTAAGAAAAGTAATTGAAGTAATCTGAATGAGAACAATCCTCCAATCTACCATTCTTCACATTTACAGGAACACATTATGACAACGGCACACATGACCTTCCAGAAAGGTCAGATTGTGTGTCATTAATCATGTTTTCAGTAAAACGTACAGTATAAAAACATTGCATTCATATCAGTTTCCAATTTTTTCAAGTGATATGTTGTGGTTTTTATCTTCTTTGTTGCCATGCTAGCTGTACTCTATATAAGGTAGAAGTAAAATAGTTGTAATTCTTTTTTTTTTTTTTTGGGGGGCTTTTTATGAGTTTGTGTAGAGATATGACAGTGGATAGTCAGAAATCGGGGAGAGAGAGAAATTACATGCTGGAATGGAGCCACTGGTTGGATTTGAACCCGGGACCGCCCGCTTGGAGGACTACAGCCTCCGTACATGGGGCGCACGCCCTAACCCCATATTCCTTTTTGTTAATTTAACCAACATTGACTGTATTTCTTGAGTCCATTCATACCAGTTATTAGCCATGGGCATCACAACCAGAGAGTCAGGAGGAGCTGAAGCTTTTCCCAGTATGCATCGGGCAAGTAGGCAGGATCCTTAGAGAATGTATCCAAGCATACACAAGTCAGACAAACACAGCAACACAAAACATTCACAGACAACAAACAAGGCAAACCAAAAACATTCAGATCCAAGACCAGAGGGGAAATAATACTTTCTACTAGATGTGGTTTTATTCAACTCACAGTACATTCTACAGATGCACACGTGTTACATCACCTTAATACAACAGAGTCCTGTAATACCTCCTCTTAAAAATGATGAATTGGTCCTAAAAATATAAAGGAACAAATTTAAAGTCACCAAAACTGTACATTATTAAAAATTCACGTAACACCACGTTTGGTTTTCATGTCGTCTTTTTTTTTCTTCTTTTTTTTGAAAAAACGTCTGTCCCTTAACGTGTACTGAGGAACATGAATGTTGATTTCCTATCAACGGATCAGAGTTCAGTGTAAGAAACGTGTTTAAATAAAACCCAGACTGTGGAGTCGTCCCGTGGCCTTCAGAGCACATCAACCATGCCCCCGCAACATCGTACGCTGGCCCTCGAAAAGCACAAAAAAAAAAAAAAAAAAATCAAAAAGGAATGTGAGACTGAAAACCAGGGAGGAATGCAACGTCTTAATCATTATCAGAGCAACTTTGCAATGTTAGTCTTTAAAAGTGGGAGGATTTCAGATTTGCACATAACTACCTTCGCGATGTTTCTCCTGCCTTGACAAGCGAAGAACAAACCAAAGCCAAAGCGTCATTTTCATCACATCACAATTAAAGTATTGAAGCTGAAAACACTGTCTTGTCTTACGTAAGAGACGCGATTTAGAACTGGTCTGTACAGTCTGTTATCGGATCAGGTGTCACTCTGCCGTTTATTCAACAAGAGAGGACAGTAAAATGTGGGCCTATCAGAGCAGACTATCTGAGCCAAACTTCAAATCCTCCTGTTTCAGAAACCAGTGTCTTTCACACAGCAGCAGCAGGTGTGTGTGTGTTTGTGTGTGAGTGTGAGTGTGTGTGAAATCATGTGTATGTTGGTGAAGAGTGTGAGTGCACGACTTTAAGTGGAGGTTATACAACGTCTACTCGTGACAGTCCAAGAAGAGATTCCTTAAGTTTAACTGGCCTTTCATAAATGGTCAAGACATTTCTATAAGGTCATCTGTACACATCCACTACAAGCTATTGCTATTAAATAATCCCAGCTATTGTAATCTGTATATATATTTATATATAGAATATATAATAAAAATATATTGAGCAAAAAAGTTACTTCTATGCATAAGACCACGTTACATTACATTTCTATTGAACAGGTAAGAAATGGCCCGAGCTCTGTGAGGAGTTTTGATCCATTTAGTTGTCGAGTGGTGCCGAGCAGGTCCAGTGTGCAGCGGTGAGGCTGCCATAGTGTGTGATCAGTCCCCGACCTTCAACGCGAGTCTGAAAGCCAAAGCACTCGGGGCCCGAGACGGTGTCATCAACCCGCAGAGGGGGGGGGGGGGGAGGAGGGGGACCTGACCGAAGGCCTCGCAACGACATGGAGCGTGTGAAAGGACGTGACAGCCAGGGGAACTCAAAGAAGAAATGAGGTGTTGAAGAGAAGATGAGACGACATGTAAAGGAAGGAAGATAAAGTGTGCCGTGTACATGCAGTCACTCTCCGTGATTGGGAAATGAGTACAAGAAGTTCAAGCCAGTTCAGTTGTGGGCCTGGAAAATAAGAGGCCCGTAGAGGGGACAATAACAGACAAATAGCCAAAATCTATACATATACACCTATACATGAGAGAATACACATAGCTGGAAGAACCTCCAGAGAGTCTTTGCAGTGATGGAGAGAGTGTTTGACTGGTACGCCGAAAGCACCAACAGTATACAGCCCCACCATGAGGGGAAACGCTGCAGGCTCCTATTTGTCTTTATTCGAGTAGAACTCCGCCCAGCGGCTCTCAAAGAAGCGCCTCATGGCGTGTCCAGCTATCCCCACCTCTGACGTGTCCTCGTTGAACATCTCGCAGTTGTTGAAGATGAGGTGAGCGTCTGCCGCAAACTCCTCACAGCTGCAGTACCTGAGACAAAGAGAGAGAGGAGAAGGAGATTTAACAATGTGTAATTTATGTTGTTTTCTCTCTTCCTGTTTTTAAGAAAGCCACTTCTTCATGTTGTCGTCAGTATAAGGAGAGGGCTGACAGGGGAAGACTTTGATATAGGCTGTATGGCTTTCTGATTTAAACGTGGAGGTTTATATTTCAAATACAAGTCAAGTTGGTCAAAGATAATTACTTTGAGTGAGAGATTCCACCTCTACATGTGACTGTGTATTTTGTATGAAAAAAAACAAGAGGATGAATTAAGTAGTGATGAAATGTGTCAGATTATCTGCTCTTACCCGCCCTGCAGCAGTCGTTCTCTCATGGTGAGGAAGTCCATGGGGTTCTTGATGATGCGACGGTAGCCTGGCACCAGTCGGGGGTTGACGGGTTCAAGGAATGGCCAGGCATCTGCATGAGACTCCATCTCCATGAGAATGATCCTGCAGGGAGACGAAATACAATCACGACCAAAGATCCATCACAGCAAAAGGTTCAGAAAAAAAAAAAAAAACTTGATTTAAAAAAAGGAAAAGATAAGTCTGTATGTCAACAACTCGACAGTGATGGAGGCGTGACTCACTCGCAGAAGGTGAGGTCGGGCTGGTTGCGTGTTGTCATGCGGCGACGTTTAGTGCCGCCTCCGTCTCCAGAGGAACGAGAAGATGAGGAGGGCGCCGCTGGCTCCTTGTACCGTGTTGCCATGCCGCCGCCGCCGCTACTGCGCCGCGATGTTGGCGTCGTCGTCTCCTCTTCAGAGCTGTCATCTTCGTATCTCCTCTTTTTCACCCTGGTCCTCTTTTTGGACGAGCGCGGGGAATCACTTTCGTCCTGTGAGTCAGCAAATGAGAAAACATGATTTTGCCGATGAGAAACGAGCGCCAAAGTTCAAGTTACTTGGAGGAAAAATGGAAGCACAATATTCTTAAGAGTAAACTTTAAAAAAAAACAAAAAAAAAAACAAGCTAATTTATTCTGAAAGTTTTGCTCAGAAACACAGAACTGGTTTTGACCTTGGCAACGCAGGTAGGACAAAACCAGTCTCCCTCTGGCACCTGGGTGATTTTGGGCTTGAGGCAGTACATGTGGCAGCCACGATCACACCCATCACACAACAATAGGCAATCGTCATCGTCTCCCTTCCTGCAGACCTGGCAGTTCTAAAAAAAATAATAATAATAAAATAAATTGCGATCACGTAGAAGAAGTCTTAATGGTCGGAATCGCAACTAATTGAATTGTGTTACTTGGTGCACTGAAGGATTAGTGGGAAAGATTCTTACCACTTTAGTCACAGATCTCTCCCAGGCGATGGCCTTCTCCAGCTGAACTAAGCACAGACAGAGCTGTGGAGCACTGCGACAGCGATCCAGAGCCTGTCGCCACGTTCGTAGTCGAGACGTTATCTCACTTTCCAGACTGGGAGATAAGAGCATTACGACAATAATGTTGGAAACCCTTTTTGTCTTTTTAGTTCAGGCAAGAAGTACAGTTAACTGAATAACAGTGTGGTGACATCATAATACAACGTCAAAGAAAAAAAAAAAGTAAAAGTAATTTTGGAAGAAAGACAATAATGGAGACAAAAAAAGTCAATAAATACAATAATTAAATACATACAATCCCCCTGCATCATTCTGTCATTTCAATTAAACTACTAATGAACTCATTTATTTTACTGCACAAGAAACATCTTAACCCTAAAGAACGTCTGTCATTCTAACCTGATGACATCCATGGTCAGCTCCTCTCCCGGAGTCGGGGTGAGAGGAGCGAGTCGCATCACCTCAGCGGGGTTCCACAGCGGCTCCTTCAGGTAGCGTCTCTCAATGTTTCGCTCCAGATTAGCCAACCGCAGCATGGCTAAGTCCAGCGGGTGTGTGGCGATACGTGGCAGGCCCGACCACTCCTTCTTGGTCCGCACGGTCCAGTCGTCCTGCGGGTCGGCGTCGTGCTCGTAGTACTGGAGGTCGTCCCGGGTGGAGTCCGGATCTGGGATCGTGTAGGGCTTGAGTAGAGAAAGAGAGCGAGTAAGCATCAGCGAGGGAGACAGATATACGGATGTTTAGCGTAACTTCCTGTATCGAAGACGGAACAATCATTTTATAGAAGTGATTAAAATGATACCTGAAATTCTGCCATCGGCGTCTCTCCATTAGGTTCTGCTTCATTTACTGCACCCTGAGGAAGAGCCTTAAAAAAACAATGATGATTATTACTCACTAATAACTACAATTATTCTTAGCTAACTTTCATATTGGCGAGGATGAGATTAAAATACACACAAACCCAGGGACATGACCATGTAGGCAGATTAAAACTTCAATATTTGATAGTAGGATGGAAATTTCATTCAACTATTCTTCAGGATGTCTTTATTTGATACTTTGACAGGTGAATGAGGGAAATTCTGCCTTAAGGAGGAGACCAAACTTTTTGTTAATTATTATCTACATGTTGGAATATTATCTCTGCAGCTCTTAACAGATGGACTCTCTAACAACATCACCACCTCATGCTACACACTGTGTTAGTGTGTAATTTTACATTATTGTATTTTTTTAATTTAAATTATGTAAATATGTTTGATTTGATTTAAACTTCTATTTTTATTTTAATAAGTATATTCCCGTCCCCCGTTTTCGGGAGCCGCTGTAATGCACAAATTTCCCCCACGGGGGATCAATAAAGTTTATCTTTATCTCACCTCTTTAATTCACTGTTAATATCTACTTATATATCTTCTTATTGTGTTTGAAAAAGTCACACTTAATTTCATGTTGTTGTTTTTTTTTTAAAGCAGTGTGAGTTGTAGTAGTTTGAAATGTTAAAAAGGTGAGGGGATTTCTCACCTTGAGGTGTAGGTCAGCTGCTATGACCCTCTGCTCCAGATCCTCCACCCACTGGAGGGTGCTGATGTCAGTCTCCAATGTCTTCTCCTGCACTTGCCAGGGCTGCTGCAGAGCCTCCATCAGCACATCCTTCTCCTCAACCTTCAACTCAAACATCGGGTCTAGCCGGAAATGACACAAACATTTGTTAAGGAAATGAAACACAAAAGGGAAAACGTGTAAAGAGATGTCTGGATGATGTCGAGTCAAAACATTTATTGGAAAGAGTTCAGTTGTTGGGTGGCAAATCCAACCGTGCAAGTACGATAAAGGAATAACCAACAACACTCACCGTTGATAGTTTTCGTGCATATCTCAGTCAAACTCTCCATGTGTTTGGCCAAATGCTTATGGAGCACCTTCTCCCTGATGCCCCTCGGGTGAAGCGCCTGTAAGGTGCTGTACAGTTCGGCTGGATCCTTGATCCACCACCAGCCCCGCACCATAGCTGCAAAAGAAACACGTGTGACACAGCCAATTAATAATAAAAAAAAAAAAAAAAGAACAATGGCTCTGCGTGTTTATCACTCAGAAAACATGATACAAATCATTTAACAAGCAGGTACTACATACATGCTGGGATGGGTTTGACCACCAGCTGAGTGAAGTACTGCTGCTCCAGCTCCTGAAACACGGCATTTGGAGGTCGACCTCGGCGTTTCGCTGCAGCTCCTCTCGGCCCTCTGCGAGCGGGACTACTGCCCCTGCTGCCTCTCCTCCGCCTGCGAACTGCCCTGCCGGGGGTGGCTGGGGCAGGCTTGGCAGGAGGAATGGCTGCTGGAAGAAACTGAGGGGGTATGGATGGTTGGGCAGAAGTAAGAACAGCTGGGGAAAGGGGTGTAGGGGGGACGTCCTGCGGTGTTGCTGGTGTCACAGGGTCAGCAGAGGCCAGGCCAGGTAGAAGTTGGTCCGGCTGAGGGGAAGCAAGACGTTGTTTATTAATACATCGTAAGAAAGAATGATTTAATGTAATTGTGGTAAGATTATTATTTCAAACCTGCACAAGTGGATCAGCAAGTGAAGGCAGAGGACTTGGGATCTGAGGGAGGAGTTTTGGGGGGGATCTGGGTGGGTTTGGTATCTGGTGCTCGGTCAGAGAGTTATCGTCACATGGTTGTTTGGGGAGCAGGTTGAACCAGTGCCCCTGTTTCTCTGCCATCTCCTTCACACTCTCCTCCGGCCGGTTACCCTCTGGAGCGTCACCTGCTGCTGAGCATGTGCCGTTGGTCACCGCTTCCTGTGATTGGCTGAGCCAGCTCTGGTAGGCAGCTTGCGTGAGCTCATGTGTTCCGCTGTTCGGTGATCCAGGTCCTTCTTCCCCTCCAGACCGGGCGCTACTTCGACGCCTGCGCCGGATCTTTGCCGTGCGGAGGTGAAGCTCTACTTCTGGTTTGATCTTTCGGGGGCGTCCTCGTCCTCGTGGTCTGCTCATGAGGGAGGCGGTGCCAGGGAGGGGGTCCTCCTCTGGGGAGAAGGTCTCGGCCTTGATGGAGGTAGCGGAGGAAGGCAGAGTCGGAGGGGGAGTGGTAGGCATGGTGGTCTCCTCAACTTTGGGCTCCTTTTTGAGGAAGGTGACGGGAACTTCGGCTATAAGAACATCTTCTGAAGCTGCGAGATCAAATTTGAGAGTTTGGATAAAACATAGGAACAAATTTGTTGAATATCAAAATGGGAGAAATAACATTTCCTTTGAATATATAAACAGAGACTCACTCAGCAGCTCCTCTGGCCCCTCGACCAGAACTCCTCCAAGGTGAGGTAGAGCCAAGTATCTGCGTCGGTACCGGTCCTGGCCCAGCAACACAGCCCGCATGGAATGAGACGACTGTAGCAGCTTTTTACGGAAAAACGCTTGGCGCTGTGGAGAGAGAAAAAAAAAAGAAAAAGGAGGGATATTTAATACAAAAGAACACAAAATGTAAAACGATGTAACTAGAGTAGCAGCGGACTCACCTTGGTTAGCTTATCTATCTGCCTTTCAAGTTCTGGAATGCTTGCATTAGTAGGGCTCTCACTCTGAAACACAAGAGATACAAATCAAATGTTGGAACCATTTCTACACCTGCAAAAAGAAAAGAAAAAGAAAAAAAAGCACAGGAGGCAATACATACATCACTGAGTTTTGGCTCTTCTTTGCGTGACCTGCGGCTGCCTCTCTCCATGACCAGGCCGCTCTCCTCCAGGCTGAGGTTCTCCTCCTCGGCCACTCTAGCACTGCGCCTCCTCTCCTCAAAACACAGCTCTTCTTCTGAGCGTCCTGTGCGACGTGCTAGGGCTGCCTTCAGTCTGCAAGAGGGAAAATTAATCAGTGTGTGCCTTTAACTACCAGTACAGATTATCTGTGATATTTTCTGTATTTGAAGAGTGAAAAGATAATCTTACTTGCGCAGTTTCCCCTCAATTATCCACTTGTTCTTCCTGTAAGTTGCCATGTTTTCCAATGTGTTGTCAATGTCACTGAAATTCAACATTTACACATTAGCACCGAAAGTCATGAGGTAGGAACAAACATGTAGGGTAAAGAGAAGCCTACAGAATAAATAACAAGTTATTGTTCTCACCTCGTCACAATGTTGCTACTGTTGAGCTCTTCCACCAGGAAACCCAGGATGGCTGCCTTGGTGTCAGGCGGCAGGGCGTGAAATGTTTTGGTCCGCAGCGTGTTGCAAACCTCGGTATTGAAACCGTGCGCTTCAAGGAAGATCCGCAGAACTTCTGAGATGGTACTGCGGGTCAGCTCCAACTCAACCAGCTTGTCCCCGAGGATCTTCACCGACTGAAGGGTGAGACGAGAGGAAAAAGTAGATTAGGAAGTTTGTTTTGGTTTATCAGGGATTTCACTATAGCAGAGATCTTTTGCTCCTACTGTATAACACACCTGATAATATGATGGCAGGCCTGGATCGTGGAGAGCGGCCTCCACCAGCTTTATCAGCAGGTCCTGGACCTCTACTTGGCTGTCCCCCAGGCCTAAGAGCCCCTCCTGCAGCGTAGCCAGGCTGGGGATGTCGTTGGGTACATTGAGACCAATCACTTTTCCATAGCCATGGAGGAACTCAACCACAGTCAAGCAGTGTGCAAAAGATGTGCCAGATAGAACCACACCAGGGATATGGGAGAGCTCTGGAAGAGGCTGATTGAGAAAAATGTAAAAAGTCATTAATACTTTAAAATATCACACTGCTAATAAAGCAGGTTTCATTAAAAAAAAGAAAACTCACTTTGTGGTCTGTGAGACACATGTCCTCTGTTGGCTTCTTCAGCTCCTCTGCGATCAGCTGCTGCCTCCTCCTCTCCTCCAGGCGTCTCTGGGCCTGCGCTCTCCTCTCTGCTGCCCTCTTGGCTGCCTGAGCGGCCTGAGCTGCAGCCTCTGCCTCTGCCTGAGCTTTAGCCAGAGCCTTGGCTTTACTGCGGGCACCCAGCACCCTCTTACCCTGGGCTATCCTCTCCTCATCGGTCTGCTGTACTGGTGGAGGAGCCTCGACTTTCACTGACCTCCTGCGGCCGGGCTTTTTGGGCTCTGCAGGTGCTGGCTGTGTGACCTGTGGCGCTGTCGGGTCCGTCGGTTCAGCCTTCAGCTCGACGTGCTTGGCATTTTGTTCAAGCTGAACCCACGAAAGGAAAGAAAGAACAGATTGAGTTGAGGACAAGGCGCAGCTGAGAGGGACACTTCTGATATTCTTTCTGTGTCGAGTTGTATTCTCTACCTTGGCTTTCCTTTTTTCAAGCTTCATCTTCTTAATCTTTGCATCATCCCTTCTCTTCATTCTTGCCTAAACAAAAATACAAGAACAAATTCAGGATTACAAGTCAAAGGCATCACAGTTAGATCATAAACCTCTGAACGTAACGATACACACCTTTTTCTTCATCTTCTTTTTGATTTTTGCAAGTTTCTCCTTTTCCTCCTCTGTGAGAGCTTCTGCAAAGGGGAACAAAAAAAGATTACACGACAAGCTACAGACACATCCTTATACATACACGCTACCTAATGCAGCCTGCATCCACTCACCCTTTGCCTCAAGCCGATTCAAAAGCTTGGCATCAACTTTGCTGAGGAGGTCCACCATCTTCGGTTTGGGAGGTCGACCCGGGCGGCGGGGCGGCCCTGCCTTCAGTCCACGAGCTCTGCGAGGTTTCTCTTTGTCAGGGTTTGGAGGACGACCTCTCCGGCCGGTGATGGCCATGATCATAGAGGGAACCTCCTCGTTGGCCAAAAGGGTCCACTTCATACCCTGTTACATATACAAGAGATTGATTAGTCCCTTAAATGTATTCTTCACAGTTCTTAACCCATCATTTTAACAGTTAGGTAGTTATTGTTGGTGAATGGCTTCGTAAACAGACCTCAGGAGTTTCTCTTTCTTCATAAAAATCTCCAACAGGCATGCGTGGGCTGAAGCTGAAGTGTTCCCTGCTCACCACGCTGTCTGTGTGCCTCTTCAAGTACTGCGTGAAGACATCAGGAGAACAGAGAAAGGGCATCATGGTCGGTGTTTTGACATCAACAACACATCAGCAGATGTATTTGCCTTGACAAGCAGGGATTTTAATAAACTGATGACTGAAGGTTTTGCTCGATAGCCAGGTAAACGTACCTTGATTATTTCTGGGAACTGCTTCATCCTCCTTCCACAGGGCGTGTAATACCAGGTCTCACCCTTCATGCGGTCCTCCGTTTTCTTCACACGAATCTCCCTCTTCCAACTGCAGTTCAGAGAGTTCATTGTTACATGACTGTTTTCTTTGACAGAGCAGCAAAGAGTGGCTGTTCCAAAAAACACTTTTTTCACACAAAGAGAATGAGGCATCTGTAAATATATTTAGAAGTTATTGAAATCTGCTTTTTTATAATTTTTCTTTGGGAGGGGGCGCTTTAATAGGACAGTGGATAGAGCAGGAAACAGGGGACAGCAACACTGACAGCATACCAAAGGCCTACAATGGAAACTTTAAAGCTACTTTTAAAAATATCTAGTGACAGTTAAGGATCACCAATTCTCTTTTTTTTTTTTTGATTAAAACTGGGGTTGAAAATGATCACATATTAAGGGCTTCACAGTTTATATATCAGATTTATTTATTTATAGAGGAAGAATCAGATTCTGAACAGAACTCTGTGCAGGAAATACACTTCAGATTTGGGTTTGCGGAAGTATTTTGCCGAAGGTCTTGAATCATTATTCATTGGTGATTTAAATTAAACGCGTTTTAGCACAGGAAGGCTTCTTTTTGAACAAATTGTTCAATAATATGATGAATACATTCCATGAGGAAAACGTACCCATGCTGCATTGGGAACTGAACCTGCTCCTCAGTCGCGACCCTCCGTCCTCTAGATTCACCTGTCAGATCAAAAGCGCACAACCATTATAAGAGTTAAACTGTTAAAAAGTTACAATAAAGTGTCATTATAATGACGTGCAACGCCCTCACAAACCCCTTCGTTACCTGCAGTGGAGCTGTCGTCGTCATTTTCGTCTGCGCCATCTGCAGCTTTTTCTTTGTCCTTTTTGGGTGTTTTTACGAGGTTTCCTTCCTTGTCTTGTTTCTTGGCCCTTTTCCCCTTCTTGGGTTTCTCCACTGATGTGTCGATAGCTGAAGCGTTTGCCAGCACAGCATCAATCGTGTCCGTGACGGTATCGAACTCTTCCGTGGATGGCCCGGCCTCTCCACATCCATCTGATGTTTCTTTGACATCGCCTTTGAGAGGCTTCTTCCTCTTTCTGCCCCTTCCTGTCCCCTCCGCTTTCTTTACTCCCTCCTCATCAGCCTTCACCACTCTAGGGGTTCGGCCCCTGGGCTTCCGCTGGGTCCCCTCTGGAGCTTAGAATAAAAGAGAAAAACACCAAGATGGTATATAAGTAGACGGGAAACAATATATATTTTATATATGTATGACACACAGGAATATAAATACAAGGCACGTAAAGAAACTAGAGAAGCAGGTGTGCAGGTGTGGGAGAAACCTGTAAATGGCTTATAAATAAAAACACACCTATAGACAGATTCAAAGGTAATGAGACAACCAATTAAGTTATGACTTCACATAGAAAGTGCAGAAGTTTTAACATGCAGAGGAGAAGGAACAAGCAAAGAGTTTCTCAGCCTGTTTTTGTTTAAAGTTTAAGACGGAGGGAGATTCATTAAAGTCACATACTCATTCCATGAGACAACTCCCTGATATTTGGTTGAGAATTGATGAAGGGAAGGTTTAATACACAGGGAGATGGAGATTCTTTTAGCTTATCTAGTTGGATAATTCAGAAATTATGATTTATCATGATTTCTTTTTTTTTTTTTTTTTTTTTTACAACCTCTTCAAACTGTGTTGAAGTAGTTCAGTACCTGGGGTTTTCGTCCACAACGCTTTTGGAGTACGAGGTTTGCGTGTTTTCCCTGGGGTTTTCAGCTGTCCTGCAGCAGCCGACACAGTCTGATCAGTCACTGGTTGGAGCGGGTGGACAGCGGGGCCCTCTGCTGGCGTACTGAAGGCGATGAAGTTCTCGTCTCTCATCTTGAAACTCGGCGGAGTCGAGCTCTCATCTAGTGTGGTCTTTTGGCTGACGCGTTCAACGGAGTCGGGTGCATCATGTCCTCTGGGTTCCCACTCGGCTTCTGCGCCTGAGATGAAACAACAATGGAGAGTTTTGTGAGCAAAATGAGAAACATGGGATGATTACATAGAAACAGAGACAATGAATAATACATAAAGCTACACATTACGCCAGCACCATAGGAGAGAACATTGTCTGATTGAGAAAGCATTGCTGGTTAATATTACATGATGGTTCTTATTTATTGTAACACATTTAGCGTGTGATTTATTTTTTGCTGAGGCTTATATCACGATAAAGATTCATTTATTGTGCAGCTTGACAACATATTTACACTCTTATTTTAAGACTACGTCGCACCATGTGACACAAATTTGAAGAAGAATACCTGGCTGAGATGACAAAAGTGAGCGCGAGTTGGACACGTCGCTGAAGTCCAAAGAGGGATCCTCCATCTGAGAGCTGTCGTTGAGAGACGACTGCAGCATGGAGTCACCGGGGATTTGGAAGCTGTCCTTGGTCTCGCCTGCCTCAGATGTTTCTCCTTCCCTGGTGGAGTTCAACGTGTCATCTCTGGAGTCGTCTGCGGAGGAGCTGCTGTCTCTAGTGGTGTCGAACGCAGTAGACTGTTCTTCTTCTGCATGGGAAGTGTTGTCAAACTGAGAAGTGTCCTGTCTGGAGGGGAAGCTGTTGTCAAAGAGAGCGGAGTCATCCACGCACAAGCTACCATCTTCTTCGTGCGAGGCCTCCTCGAAGACAGAGCTGACATGAATTTGAGAGGGGGTGTCAAACTGGGAAGAGTTATCAAAACTGTCCTCATCAGTCAGTTCCAACCTTGTCATGTGGAGGTGGGAGGACTGTCTGAGAGGCATCTGCTCCTCATCCACTTTGCAGGTGACCATGCTTTTCATATGCTGCTGTTCAGATTCTCTCCTTTCATTGCTGGGCTTCTGATCATCAGCTTCTACTCTCTGTGACATGCTTTTTGTGCCAGAATCAAGCTGAGCGAAGTTTTCCTCTTGTTTCCCATTTCTCTTAGTGTCACTGTGATCACGGTGCTCTGGCTGGGGAGACTTAAGAAGATGAGGAGCGGTGGTGTCAGAAGAACGCTGCGCAACGCCAGAACTTCGGACTACTCCTGAAAGCGCAGAAACCAAGGCAGGAGGGCCAGACGCGGGTGCAGTCCTGGAGGCTTGAGTGGTTAGAAGAGGTAGGGTGGACAGAGGTCGGACTGTGGGACTTTCCTGGGCTGAGGGGAGGTTCACGGTGGCAGGTGGTAACGATGCTGCACAGGCAGTTGGAAGACCAGAGTCAGCAGCTGGTGGAGTGTCTGTCTGACGCTTGGGTGTGGATGCTGAAGGAGCTTTTGACACAGTAATGGGAGATGCAGATGTAGATAAACAAGAGCCAGGTGATGCTGCAGTTAGAGGCCCTGATGATACTGAAGTCTTCTCGCCTACTGAGGATGTGGACAATAATTTGGGGGGTCCATGCTTTTCAAGTTGACCTCCATATTTGTCTGGAAAGCAAGGTGTCAGCAGAGGTGGCTTGGACCCTTGAACCATCCGTTGAAGAGGTGAGATAGGTGCAGACACTGAGTAAGAAGACGTGGGCACCAGAGCGGGAGGGGAGACCGTTTTGGGAGGTCCTGATGCTACAGGAGGCAATGAGGACGTGTTCTGATGAGCGACAGACTCTGAGACAGAAGAACCCGATGCAGGTTTAGACACAACATCAGCTGAAGCAGGAGGTGTAGACAACTTTGGAGCCGATGCAGGCAAGGAGGAGGAAGAGGACCCTGCTGACAGATGATTGGATCCAGCAGGAGACGAATCGGTTGCAGCAGAAGCGGGAGGCCTGGGGCACTGCATCATTAAAGGAGGTGTTGTGATTTGTGCCGGGGCAGCTTCGACATCAGGGGGTGACACTGGGGGCACAGGTGGGGATGTGGAAGAATCAAAGTAAGCAGGAGCGGCAGAGACTCGAGGAGGTGTTGAGGCCCGGGCTGTAGACGTTGACACTGCTGCAGGAGGTGTAGATGCAGAGAGCTGGGAGGACATGGACTTAGGGGGTGTTTTCACGGCTGTCTCTCTGACAGACATCTCTGGTCGCGGCGCTGCAGGCTGCTCAGAAGGCTGATGATAATCACTTGTAGGTCCCATGGGGTGGGGTAGGTAACTATCACCTTTGGGCAGCCTTTGGGAAATAGATGCTCTTTCTGTGCCGTTATAATTTGTGTCTACCTCCTTCACAGCTTCTCTTGTATGGCCTGTAAGAGAACAGAATCCAGACAACAGTCAGTAAAAAAAAAAACAAGAAAATGTCTGTTGAATCCACAGTAGGGGGTAGTTTTAGTTAAAGTTTGTTTTAAAATAAAATGATCATTTAGAATAACAACACATTTCATACACTGACATGTCCAGAAGTTATAAGCTATTCCTGACATAACACCTCACTAAGTTTTTATACATTTTAATAGTCCAACAGCGCCACCTGCAGGTTGATTCTGGGCACTCATCGCAATGCTGAACACTCGTGTATCATAAATAACTTGCGAGGCATCATTTGCCGTTTTTTTCCCCCTGCGAAATGTTTAAACACTTGGCTGATCAGCAACTGCCGAGTATGTTCAAGAGGGAGAAAACCAAATTACAGTGTGAGTAGAGCTCAACTGGTGACGTTAAAAGGAGGAAGTGAGAAGTAGGAGAGAAGTGTTAAATTTATGAGGAAACCACAAATAAAACGAAAACTTTAGTGTCAAAACCAAGAACCAAACAGTTCCAGACACAAATCAAATAGTTATTACTTTTATGGAAAACAATTAAAGGAAAAAAAAAAAAAAAAGAGTCAAAAAGTTGCACAAAAACACAGAGTAAAATGGTCACCTTGAACGACAGTAGAGACTCCTAGATTGCCGGCATGGGGGCTCCGCTCCCTGCTGTGGCCCTTGGGGGATCCACTCTCTTGCGCTGTTGATGGTGATATCACTGGTGCCGAGGACATCCCAACGGGGAGGGGGCTGCCAGTGCCTCCCCTGCCTAAACTGTGGTGCTGTGGGCTGCCACGTGGAGGAGTAAAATTCTGCGCAGCAGGGGGAATCATCTGAGCCTGGCTTTGGGGCTGAGACTGCTGGGGTGGCTGTTGCGGGGAAGATGGCAGGGAAGGGTGCTGGGGTTGATGCTGGTAGTATGGCATCCCATTAGGCAACATGCCATAGTGCTGTGGTTGCTGGTGCTGCTGGTGGTGTTGGTGTGGGAGGCGATGGGAGTGGAGGTGCTGCTGTGACGGAGGCTGTAAGGACTGCTGCTGGTGATGTTGTGACGGTGTAATTCCAGGATGTGCCTGACTCTGGTAGCTCCCATACATACTGTGGGAATTATAGCTCATCTGCTGCGGGCTAGGGTTGCTCCTGTTCCAGTACTGACTCCCAGTTAGAGGCATGTTTGGTGGGCCTGCCACAGGGGGCTGGTGGGGAGGCTTCAACACCCCCGTTCAGTTGGTACTGTCCACGTCCCTGGAAGTGGTGCTGTGACTGAGGCTGCACCATCCCAGGAGCGGACTGCTTCTGGTGCATCCCGTGCCCAGGAGGTGTGCCCATGGCTGGACCGTACTGAGGGTGGCCTCCCCACAAGTAGTCGTAGCCCATGCTGCCCTGGTGGTGGTTGCTCATGTGTGGGTAAGGAGCAGTCGGGGGGTTGGAACCAGGCACGCCAGACCCGAGAACAGTAGTAACGCCATTCACATTCATTTCGCCATTCATATCTGTAAAAAAAAACACAAGAACATTGGCATTGACTCATAAAATAAAAAGTTGAATATTGTGACGGTTGACTGAAGCAGAAAGTTAAATGAAAATAGCACACGAGAGTACATTTTGAAGTTAATAAATGAACATTTTTTTTGTTATTTGTAATAAAATACTTACTCTTCCCCTGCTGAGGAAAACTCATGGAGGACCCGTTAGTATAAAGAGAATCCCCTGAAGAGAGTTTCAGTCCTGAGTTAGCTGAGGAGTGGGTGCCATAGTTGAAATGATTATTTGACTCCATCTAAAAAAAAAAAAATTAAGAAAAAAAAAAAAAACATGGAAAATAAACACTCAAATACTCTCGTGTTCCACTTCCTGCTAAATACATGCACCTTAAAAGAAGCGAAGACGCCTGTACACGTGATGAATCAGCATTTAAATATATATATATATATGTTGTTGTTTTTTTACAGCGCTACGCAATAAGACAAATTCATCACATCAGTACAATACATCTCCTTTGATCATTTTGGCAACAGCATCTTGTGACAACACCATTTCCTTCTAACATCCGTCAAAATGTCGCAGCCAGCAGCAGATTGTGCCCAGGCCTTAGTAATGGATAATCGGGGATATTGCGATAACAACAAAAAAAAAAAACAGGCTCTTCATATCATTACCTCTGATGAGGGCGCTGCTAACTTGGAAGCAACATCCTCCCCTCAATCCTCAATCCTAGCATGAGAAATGTTTTGGCCCAGGCAGCCACACGGCCAAAACACCAACAATGAACCAGGATTAGCGAGCAATATTTCCTACCACCACCCCCAACTGAAGGAGGTGTTACTTAAAACATGTCGCCGTGTAATACAAAAAAAAAAAAAAAAAATTCTCACTCTGTGAACACAGCGTTTCCTAATTCAACACAAGGCCATATCGCAGAGGGCGCCGTGTTGCTGGCTAAAACGCGCTAGCTGCGGTTTCTGAATTGAAACATTTTTTTTTTTTTTTTAATTAAATCGGCTGTTTTAACAACCGACACAGGACACGTAAGATATCACACTCAACTTAAGTTTTTTTCCCACGAAAACATCAAACCAAATAATCCAAATTCCAAGGTTATTTCAGCTAAATCATCACAATAAAAAAAAAAGAAAAAAAGAAAAGCACGCTAGGTAGATGGCTAGCTGTCGGTAGCATCCTTGACGTTACACCCGGAGGAGGAGCGGTACACAAGCTGCGACGTTAGCCGATAGCACAGGTAGCAGGTACCGCAACCACCACGCTTGCTTGCTTGCTGCTGTGGGTCCATTGGTGCCCGTTATCAGCGGACAGCTCGGATGATTAAAATAGATTACGTAGCGGAGTGTTGACAGCGACTGGAGTAAACACAGCCGGACTCACTTTGTTAACAGATGGAGGCGTGCTCCCCCCCTTTTGTTCACGGGGCTAGCAGCTAGCAGCCCAGATGAAGTTACATTGTTTACGCTGCACAGCACACACACACACACACACACAGACACACACATTTTTTTTTTGTTGTTGTTGCAGAGCATCATCTGCCCACACCATCACCACCATCATCAAAAGTTTCGTTGATAATTCAAGATAAAAAAAAAAAGAGAAAAGGGTCCCAACCTTTCAGTCCTTGGATTATCGAAGAGGTGGAGGCTTACCTAAACCTTCATCTAAAAGCAAATATGTGCGGGTGAGGATGGCACACAGGTAAATAATAAACAACTATTCCCTAAACCTTTGGGTATTAAATTAGCAAACATGGCTGGTGTGGTCCAGTGCAGCCATGATCACAGAACAGAGCGAGTAGTAGCTGCGTCAATATCCCGACGACAACAACAAACACATCCGGTCACAGTCCTGCGGGGAACTTCACAAGAAAACAGCTTATCGTAGTAATCATAATAAATAATAATAATCATAATAATAATAATAATAATATTCTTAAGAAGATGAAAAAGAAGAAAAGGAGGAATACGATGCGAGATTAAACCATTATAACATGATAATAATTATCATCTTCATATATTAGTGTTTGTTTTTACTAAAATAATTACAAAGAACAAAATGTTCTCAACAGAAGACGCTTTATGTTACGATATCTTACTTTAGTCTACTAGTTTTCGTTACATCGCCGCAATGTTAAACCATTTGAAGACTATTTTGATGATCGACTAATCGGTTTGAGTTTTTTTTTTTTTTTTTTTTTAAAGGTAAAGATAAACTTTATTGATCCCCCCCATGGGGGACATTTTTTGTATTACAGCAGCTCAAGAAAACAGGAAAAAGAGAATAAAATTATTAAAAATAAAAATAAAAATAAAACACAATGTACATCAGTTAAGTATCAGTTCAAGTAGGAAAATCGGAACTTTCGGTGTCAGGCTTATGATGTGGACACTTTGTAGTTTCTTTACTCAACATTCATCTTTAGGTTGAGGATAAAGGTTGTACATATATCAAATACACTTATTTAATACGCGATTAAATAAGTTTTATACTTCTTCCTACTCCTTTTCAGGCATATCAATTGAATATATGTAATTTTCTTTTTCTTTTTTTGTGAAATAATTTGAACATTGTTTTTTGTTTATTGTATTTTCGTGCTTTTCATTTTGTTTTGTATTTTTGATATGTTTGATTTTATTTGATATGTCTAAAATAAATAAAATCAAGTTGAAATCTTTACCTTTTAAGAATTAGATGGTATTTTAAGGGTAATCTGACAAGGTTAGATAGTGGCAAAGGGAAGCAAAATAAATGAAAGCAAACTAGAATCTATTTAGTTCGTTTGTATCGGTTACATGGATAAGACTTACATTCACGGTTGTATTTTAACCTCTATGATTTTAACGTGCTTATTGATGACGATAGGAAATTCATGTAGCATATTTCAGGCAACTTCACAGAAGTGAAATGGAGGAAATCAGGCCTAAAGAGGAAGTATGCTAATTTTCTGGGCCGAGGATCCTGGAGGCTTCTGGGTCCTAGCGCCGAAAGCTACAGCAGTTTTCAACAATTACAATTTATAAGAAAAAATAAATCTTTTAACAGCAAATAACAAGGTAAACGTTTTCTTGAGTACTGGCGTCATAAGAAGGTAAATATTATTTTAAAAACGATTTCATTACAAACACGTTATATTATATAATTACTTAAGCGTAAACTCCATCCTAAAAAAAGAAAGAGTTCATATTTAATAGTCTATGCAGCATGACTGCACACTGCTTTATATTTTTAAAATGTAACGATTCTTCATACAAGTTTAGTTTTAGTTCATTCAAAACGTCACACACATACAATTAAGTTAGTTACTTAATTGTTAATGCTGCATGTTAGAAACACATTAACCAAGGTAATTTCACATTCCTTTCAAATGAATCCTTTCCAAATAATCATGACCCTCCCATTTCAAAACAAAGGCACGTTTGTACATGAGGTTAATAAAATAAATCATGAAAAATGCATTTAAAATGATTCTTGAACAGTTTATTAGAAAGATGTAGACAATAAAAAAGAACTTTCACTGTAATTCAACACCGTTTGTCTCCCCTTACATTTTATTGACAGTGCAAATATAATTTGGTCATTACACGTCGCCTAACGTCCCAAATCTCCCTCAAAGAGGGAGGATCATTCTAGATGAATGAACAAAAAGGAAAGAACCTGGAGAAAAGCAACAAACCACATGATGCTGAGGTCCAACCAAGCTTCAAGCCTCAATGTAAGACATTTCACCTTGTTTCTGCAGGAGGGTACGGAGAGAAGAGCTTTTTAAAATGTGAAATGTATGGAACTCACTCAGATTACAAATGAGGCTCATAACCCAGAAGATGCAAATATTTCTGCAGTAATCTCAGAATTGTCCAATTAAACCGAAATTTAAAAAAAAAAAAAAAAAAAAAGAAGTGGAGGGAAACATGTAAGCTGGAAGGTTAAGCCACGACAAACAAAGACTGGCTTCCTGGAAAATCTAATTCACGGCACATGGAAAGCTTTAGAGGAATCCAATCAGTAAATACATCTAATTTTTTTTTTTTTTAAGTACATCTATAGTTGTCTTTGTCAATCATGAAATCAAAACTACACCGATCGACTTACCTAATACAGCATTGGGAATAGGGTGGGCCTAATCATTTGAAACCACAATCCATTAGAAAACAAATTCTCTCTTAACACGTATTGCTCATTTGAGGACTACTACACAGCTTTTTCCAACAAATAATGTGTGCTTACTTGTAATATTGAACAGTAAAACAAGATACCCAAGAAGGTGCAGTACAGCAAATGGAAGTGGAGATAGCTGCTCTGTACAATACCATGCATATCAACCTTCAGTGGACAGGTCGGCCAAGAGTTTGGAGCTGAGGCTATGGATTTAAATATGGCTACAGACTCATATGTACAGTTTGTTTGTCACTGCCTTCGTTTTCAAGATATACATTTGTTGAGATTCCTCTTGCCCTGCGTTCCTCCATTTTCTCTCCAGAGTCTTACAGTCTTCTACTCCAAATCAGGCATTTCTGGAGGAGAAGTGGAGCAGAAATAAAGTCAAACATTAAGTTACAACGGATGAATTAAAAAAAAAAAAGAAAAAAAGTAGAACTATCATGTAGAGTTATGTAAAGGCTCATGAAAACTTACTCTCATCATCGCTATCCGCGGACTCGTCCTATAAGGATAAAGGAGGAGATGAGGTTTGAAATGTTACTTTTAATAAAATAATCAACCGGAGTTCACTTAAGAAAGAAGACAGCCTTAATCTACTGCACTGGTACAAACATATGTTAGCGCTCATGAAAAGAAGTGAAAGAAGAAAATATATGTTTACATCTTCTGCACCGTCCAGATCAGGTAGGTCATCATCACCTCCCATGTTGTGCATCATCTGTAACATGAACGTCAAATAATTAATGCCACATCATTTACTTTTATTTGAAATGCTTCAACAAGAAAAAAACAAGGGATTGAAGGACAAGGGATACATTATGAGTAGGATTTTCCTGAAAGCAAAGTAAACATCTGTCTCAATCCTCACTGATGATTGTGTTCAATCAAATGGCTTCATTATTATCTGCAGAGACTCTGTCCTGTCTGTGTTTTCTGATTTTTTTTGTTTGTTGCGCCTTCAGGATGTTATTTGGCATCAAACTTTTGGCACTGATGTATCAGCCTGAAAGTATGAATGAGGACCGCCATCAAACAGTTAACTAATCAGTTTTAATTTTTTTTTTTTTTTATTAACCTCCTTTTGTTATTCCCACTCAAGCACACGAGACCACAGCTCCTCTCCCTGTGGCTGCAGAGGGAGGAGAGGCCAACTCGGAATGGTGTGTTTGCAAACAGCAACAGACAAATCCCATTCATTACACCTTTAAGTTTGGTCCATAGGTCAATCACATTTGTCAAGCTGGCACACAGAATGATGCAATTATAGGTTGATGAGAGACACCGACCGCATCCCAGGATTTGGCAGCCAAATTGCGAAACAATATACGATAGTTATATGTTCTTGCAGCCCTTAATATATTTATAACTGGTCATTTTTAGGGGTGCACCAATCTCCCGTTTTGTCTAATAATAGCAATACCCTAACTCCAGGTCATAACCAATTTTCAATTCCCTTCTTTTCACATGTTTTGTTCGATACTTTTGTGTTTTCAGACAGTGACAGTGCAGTGGAATAGATATGACATACAGCTGTTGCCATTGACACAAAGGCATGCCCTTATTAGATCAGTTTAATAATCTGTACCTTTTAAGTAATTAGATTTGCACCAATTTAAACCAAGTACCGGTGAGTCAAATTCAGCAGTTACATCGAGAATGATGAAAAACATCAAATTCTGACAGAAGTGATTAAAACACTTTTTAGACAGAAATATTACCTTCTTTATCTAAAGATCCTTTTTGTCAGTTTGGATATGTAGGGCCGGTTTATGATTTTGACCAAGTTATTTTTTAATTTGAATAAAGTTTTTGCCCGTATTTCTTAATAAATTCAAAGACTAATACGTCAGCAAATAATAATGCTTTCAAATCATTACTGCATAGAGCTCACATCTGAGAATTGATCGAATTGGCCCATCTCCTCCTCTGAGTCATCCTCCCAGTCTCTCCAGTTGTTGAAGTCAACGCTGAGCCAACTCAGCTGTAAAAAATACAAAAGCTCCATGTTATTGTTATGAAAACAATGTTGACATTTTAATGAAACTTGTATTGTTATGATAGAAAACCGCCCTTTCTATTTATTGACCGTGTTTGTGTCAAACCAACCTTGGCCTTTTCTTTCGTTAGCCTCGGCCATGCCTTCCCTGGCTGTGCTTTTCGTAAATAGCACAACACTGAGCGATCTGTGCGTTTGTGTTTGGATTCCTTTGTAAAGATTTAAAGAAAATAGAAATTAAGTTGATTTAAGACTGAATTCACAAAATGTTTCAAAGAAATAATATTCCAAAGAAAATGTTAAACCATATGTTACTTACATTTTCATCAATTGCTTCAAAAAGGTCTATTTCATTCTCAATTTTGACGTTGTCAGTTCCCCCGATACAGCTGTAAAAGAAGAAAGAAGAAGGAATGAGTTCAATTCAATTCAATTATGGCAAAATTAAAATAAAATAAAACATTACCAAATAGAAGACCCAGAATGAGGGACACATACCTGAAAACACACTTTGTTTTGTCAAAGTTGATTTTAAGATCTTTGCTGTCTGCTACACAGAACTCTATAAAAACAGAGTCCCTCCTATCGTACCACTTGGCAGTTGCTGGATGCCTGTGAACAAATGAACATCAAACATCAATACATGTTAACAGCCTGTCACAAAACCAGAGGTGTAAATCATGTTCTAGCTCGATTGGGACACCTGATGTAATTCAACCTGTCTAAAGTTCCTAACCTTCCTTAGTTGTGTGTTGTTTTTTTTTTTAAGAGTACAGCTTCTCATCAGGCACACAACTTGCATTAAAAATGTATAATACGGGTCAAAATGACTGGTGACAGACGGAGAAGTATTCAGGCACAACAGCCTGCTGCCAAACAGCCTTTGGATCTGGTTGCCACACTGCATCCAGTTACAAAGTAAGATCTTATATCAAACAGCTTCGAAAGTAAAACATCATGTGCACACACCCAAGTGTATTCCACAATGTGTCTCTATTGTGTTACGCATCGTGTTTTCTTTGTATTAGGAACACTGTTATCTATTTACACTGTACCTGCATACGCTTTCATAATGCTTAAGTCACATTTGATTAAGTCCCAGACTAATAGCCAAAGTTCACCATTACATGATTAGTAGTACTCAATTAAATATGTGTTAATCATTTGTAGTAGGAATGCAGAGATCAGTCTGCTTTTAAAGGGGTGAAACTACAAGACATATGACAGTGTTATTATTCCAAAAGACAAGTTGTTAACGGCTCTTCGTCTACAGAGATTCTTAAAAGGAAACTGTCTTCACATTTAATCCATGGAGGTCAAACTTTTGCATATATAAAATATATTGTTTTCTTTTTTTTCCCTCCATCAACTCACTCATTCACTCCATTTTTAATAGATCAATGCCTGTCTCATTTAGCTGATAGAGGGTTAACATTCTCAGTCTTTCTATTGTATGTATGTGTCTAAGTGTGTGTGTATGAATACGTGTATAGGTTACTGTGTATGTGTTTATATTTAATTTTGTTTTGAGATTGTGTGATTTGTTTAATTGATTTATTTGTCTCTTAAGAGGTGAGGTCCCTTGTATCAGCCTGTTGGCTTCTTGACCTCTCCTGACACACATTTTATGTTTTAGTTAATCCTATTTTGATGTATTCTTATATGTGTGCTAATAAATAAAATAAAAATAAATGTTAAAAACACTGGAAACTAATAAACATTTTCATTGATCTGTGACTGACCCTCCTTCATGATAAAATATTCACTGTAAATAGTTACACCTGAATTATAAATAAGTAACATCTCAATGACTTACTCGGGTGATTGATAATATGTGTATGTGTATAAACACTATATTCATCTGGCCTGGTTATCAAAATCCTCTTAGGAATGATCCGACCAACCCGAGGCAGTGGAAGGAAGCTACCCTTACAAACGTATCTAACAAGTTTGAGATTAAGCCACCAAATATATATAGTCATCATTCAGACTGTATTACAACTACAGCTTCCAGTTTCTCCTAAAGAATCAGGTCTTGTGCCACAGTAGTAACACCAGTTCAGTCATAGCCCACCTAACATTGTGCTAGCTAGTGGAGCTAACACCCTTTACGTTAAGACACTACGTTGAAGCCATGCGGTGCGCCTGATTCATCCCGCAGGCTCAAAGCAGCGTGTACGGGTAACGCCAGGACTCCCGGGTGTTTCACCATCACCTTAATGGTAGAGAGTGTTTTTCTCCACTCAAGTCTGTGTGCTTCTAGCTAGACAGCGAGGCACCATTAGCTTCACAGTTCACTGAGGCGAGGCCAACCTCCCGCCTTTGAAAAAGCATGTTGTCACACAGCTAACGTCGGCTAGCCTAGCAGGTTGTTCAATCCACATTTCGTCCTTTACGCCTTTAAAATACTTTTTTTTTTTTAAACAACTTACATGTCTCGATGTGAAGTAAGCTTTCTTTTTCGCAGTTAAAGAAAAGTCTTGAGTGCAGAATGGTTGCGCTCGCAAAACACAGGGAATACTGGCCACAAACAACAAGCAAATGCAATGCAAACGCCTCTAGCTCTGGACTCTAGATTAGTACGGATCTTCTTGCGTATCAATGCGACGTGAATGTCGTATGACGTACTTAGAGCGTACTAGACGTTTCTAGAGCTTTCATCCACAGCTGCGGGTGATGAGAAGGAGGCAAGTGTGTAATCTGCTGTCGACCACACTTTACTTACTGTACCACTCATTAGTATGAGCCCTTCAAATACCCTCGTCACTAATCACAGAAAAATACAGAATACAGCACAATGAGCGAATAGATAGATGTGCTGGTTCATGCACAAAACTAATTAAAAAAAATACAATGATTATTAAATACAACAAAAATGGCAAAAAAAAATATGTTTTCATTACTACATAGTAATTACTAATATATTATTGAAATCACAATGTCAGCTCCGTGTTCTCTTCAGCAGCAATGTGAATATACTAATGATTGAAGATCTGAAGAATATTCTTACATTTATTTATATTTATAGCATCCCATTAATCCAACCATATATACCCAATAATTCACTTTTTTTTAGTCTACATCTGTAAATTTTGTAATTACTTGTACATAGCACAGATTCTTGCACTTTCTGCTTATTTGCACTTCTGGTGAGATGCTAAACCTCATTTCGTTACTCTTTACTTGTATATGTGTAATGACAATAAAGTTAAATCTCATCTCATCTCATTGAAACACAATTTCCCAGTTTGGGATCAATAAAGTAATTCTATTCTATTCTACCTAAAACACCATACTTGAAAGCAAATTCAATTCATTCAGGTTAGGGCTGCTGGATTATGGCAAAAAAAAAAAAAATCATAATCACGATTATTTAGATTCATATTGAGATCACTATTATTAAACTCGATTACACATTGGTTTTACCAAATCTGGAGCACAATACATTTAACTAACTTTAACACTGAACACTTTGAAAAACAAGCAATACATATAAATAAAAAGGGAAAAAAGTAAAATATATAATACTAAATACAAGTAAATTAACTATGCGTTGAGGTAACAACAAACACTACACAACTACACTCAAATGTACCACACGTAACAAAACTTATGGACAAAACAAACGCAACACAGCACATGCCACAGTACATTTTTAATCACCATTCTCTTGTGTTCATGATAGTGGGGACGACAAAACTACCTTTTGTTTTTAAATTAAGATCCAATAAGTGATCCAAATCAATAGACATGATCTGTTTTACTAATTGACTACATAAGGGTCTTTGCTTATAACATTTTTGATAGTATTGGGTCTTTTTGTTGAAAGGTTAACTATTTACTCAATTCAAACCAACAATTCATCATTTAGTACAGGATGATCAAACACCTCAGCCAAGAAACAATAAGCAAACACAATTTTGAGTGAATAGGGAATAGAGACTTCCAACTTTGTCCAGATTTTGCCACCTTTTGTAAGTTTAAGTCACTGTCCAATCAATTAGAAGACTTAAAATTAAACTTGCAACACTTTCATTCTTATTTGTCTTTCATTAGTCATGGAAATGAACAAATCAGCATGTGTCCAGCTTTAACCAAGGGCAGACTTAAAACCTTTAAGATGAATACAGCCTGGCATACCTGGACCATGTCCAAGAGGACAGGTTTTTCAGGGTGTGACACTATTCTGTGATGATGAGTTTTACTGGCATCACGCTTAAGATTCAGGAAGTTACTTATGGTAACTCTATATACCAGAAGCCATAAGAATCATTAGCATTTAGGCTACTCTGCCTCACTAAGTGCCACTATAGTACACATACAGTTACTAGTCCCAACTAGATGAACTGCCGGTGTGGCTGCAGGATTTAAGTTGATCTTCTTACAAGTGTCGCTGGAGCATTTTGACCTCTTCTTGGCTGCAGGATTGGAAAGATCGAATAGATGAAGTGGATCCTGTAATTCTTGAGGGAGCTTTATCAAATTGAGAAAAATAAACGGAGATGTCACCTCTATGCTGTAACTTTGGGATCATGGAGTTTCCAGAGGACATTGCTATTAAAGGTGTATTGTATTAAATGTAGTTTTTTCTGAAGACCCACCAATGCTAGCCATGGTATCCCCTGAAAACTTTTGACTAGGTTTCATACATGCACCAAGTCAAAAAGTTCAAATGAACAAAAATGTATCAGATAGATCAAATAAGTTACATTTCTTTGTAGCAGATTGGCTTCTTCATACTTTATCAGAGCCTTCAGGCTTATCCCATTACATTTATATTTTACAATGTTCACAATGAACAAACCATTTAATTAGATAAACTGGTTTAATGAAGCCTGTGGTCTTTAGGCTGGTTTGCATATTTTTTTATAATTCTGCATTGGACATAAACAAAACTCTGGAAAATACTTGTATTTACTCGTATTCTTTGTGTTTGTTGGGTATAGTTCTCGCACATAAGCATCTAGTATCACTTCACCAGCTTTGTTCCCTACAAAGTTAAAAATCTGTCATCATAGACCAAAAAAAACAAGGACAATGCATCAACACTTCATTTCATCAAGCCACAACTTTATTTCCATCTTGGGTATAAATTGTATAAATGAGCTTAAATCAGCAACCTTTCTTCAACCCGTCTTGCCAGGGCCCCCTTACATTGTCAACTCCTGTAAAGACAACAAAAACAGTTTGTTAGACTGATGCATGAAAAAATAAGTCACTTTTAAATTCATTTTTCTCTTCTCAGTACAGAGGGTTGGCTTCAGTGAACTCAGAAGAACGAAAGTCACTGTATCAATCATCACTGAAGAGGTTTCCATGATTATACATTAATATACAGAGGTCAGCATAACCTATTTAATAACATTAGATATAAGAGTTTCTGGAATCTTACCATAATAGCATTGACAATGTCGTTGTTGTTATTTTTCAGAGCGCGTACAGCCTTCGCCCGCGACACATTTGCTTGGGACATAACGAGTTCAATGTCCTTGACCTCAACTCCGGTCTCATCAACCTGTAACGATACACAAAATGGAATCATTATAGCTTTGGTGAATCAAGCAAGGTGTGCATATTAGTATATCGGCACATCTTACCTCTTCTTCTTCGCTTTCCTCCTGTACTGTTGGCGTCTGTGTGTTTTCCTGGATATTTGATACAGCTTCCCCCTGTACCTTGAATTTTTCTGCAGCTGCAAGTTGGGCTTGCTGGGAAAGATCTTCGATCTGTGGCACAGAGAGGAAAAAAAAAAGGGATGTCAACACATTTGGAAATGATATACCTATTTGACCATCCCTTTAGTATCATCACCTGAACCCTTTAACAAGTATTCTTCTTCCTCATGAAAAGCCTAGACTAGATAGGATATCGGTTAATGTGGCTTACATCAGTGCTGGACATACCTTAGCTTCACCGAAGACGATGTATGTGTCTGACGCAGGGCTCTTGTAGACGTCTGGTTTGGTAATGACGAACAAGATGTTCTTTGACTTGCGAATGGTGACCCTGGTGACCCCCGTTACCTGCCTGAGACCTAGCTTTGACATAGCCTGCAAGAAATGCATCATTTCACAAATGTGGCCAATTTATTTAGTTAATGAGAAGTAATTAAGTGGCAATAACATTAATAGCACACTGAGGGCCTTACCTTCCGTGCCTTCTTTTCACTGCGGCTCTGTTTGGCTTTGCTGACAGGTTCCTCATCTATTTCTGCAGCTGCTGCAAGCTGTAATAGACAACATTTTATGTCAAGTGAATTAAGAATTTAAATATAAAAACTAGACACATTGTTATGCAACTACTTTTAACACTCTTCTCAGGACAGAAAGGTTGGCATCAGTAGACTCAGAAGAACGAAAGTCACTGTGTTAATCATCACAGAAGAGTAAAGGAAAAACATCTGCCCAATATGTTTTACAAAATGTTTTTTTTTCACCTTAAGTCAACATACACAAATGTGTTAGACCACACTGAACGCTCACCTGAGCTTGCTGTGTTTGTGTCTGTGCAGAGTCCTGTTCCTCCAGCTCAGGGACTGAGTCATCGCTGTCTGACTCAGTGCCGGATCCTAAAGGAATCAGCAGCAGAAAGAAAAATTATATTACACCCAGTGTTTATACAGTTGCTAGTTGTCAAGGAAATATTCTGCATCAATCCTGAGGAATGAAAATAGATCAGTTAATAGTGATTCAATTTATATTATGCATATTACCCGAGTGAAATGCACACCCCTCATATCTTGAAAACGTAAAATAACAGGGTCATTTATTTTATCTGCGAAATACTGAAGGTGTGACACAATTACCTTCCTATACGATAGCATTCATCAGCCTGACCACTACGCGTCTTCCTCAGTGCACAACATGGCTAACGGTATGCATCTGAGCAGTTCCCGCAGAGTAGAGACAGTTGGAAAAACACAAGGCACACAAAGGAGAGAAAGAAGAAAATACCCTTGTCGTTCTTGATCACAGGCTCCACCTTGGCTGGGGTTTTAACAGGAGTGGGGGTAGGTTTGGGTGCTGAGACAGGCTCAGAAGATTTATTACTGATTAACTCTACCTCAGGTTTAACTGGAGAAGGGGCTGCAACGGCCTCAGCAAATGTGAGTTTACGTGGGGCTGGGGCAGGAACAGGAACAGCAGGCTCAACAGGAGCAGATTTTAATGGGACGGGTAAAGGCTCAGCTGCTGGTTTAGTAGGCTTGGCAGCCTCTGCAGGTGTAGCCTTAACCTCAACTAGTTCAGCTGTGGTGACCGGCTTCACAGGGGTTGGCATGCTGACTTCAGGGGCAGCTGATTTGAGAGACTCAACTGGAGCAGGTTTGGTCTCAACAGCAGGCTTCACAACTTTAGCAGGAGACTTTTCAACTGGCTTAGGATCCTCAACGGGAGCAGGTTTGGTCTCAACAGCAGGCTTCACAACTTTAGCAGGAGACTTTTCAACTGGCTTAGGATCCTCAACAGGAGCAGGTTCAGCCTCAACAACCAACTTAGGAACCTCAACAGAAGCAGGCTTGGCCTCTGCAACTGGCTTCACAGCCTCAACTGGAGCAGGTTTAGCCTCAACTGGAGCAGGTTTAGCCTCAACAACCGGCTTAGGAACCTCAACAGAAGCAGGCTTGGCCTCTGCAACTGGCTTCACAGCCTCAACTGGAGCAGGTTTAGCCTCAACAACCGGCTTAGGAGCCTCAACAGAAGCAGGCTTGGCCTCTGCAACTGGCTTAGGAGCCTCAACGGAGCAGTTTTGGCCTCAACTACAAGCTTTGGCATTTCAACAGGGGCTGGTGTGGCCTTAAGAGCCTCAACGGGAGCAGTTTTGTCCTCAACTATAAGCTTTGGCATTTTAACAGGGGCTGGTGTGGCCTTAGGAGCCTCAGTGGGAGCTGGTTTAATAGACTCAGCTACTACTTTAGCACTTTCAGGCTGTGTGGTTTTAACTGTGGCCTCAGCTTTGCTGCTTTCAACAGGGGACACGACTTCTGGCATTTTCATTGACTTCTCAGGTGGGATAAGTGGAGGGAGCTCATCATCAACAGCTACAAGAACAGGGGCAGCTTTTACTGAAGCCGACTTAACTTCAACAGGTTTCGGGGGGCTGGAATCAAGAGTATCAGAAAATGAAACTGGAGCAGCCACAGCAGGCTTTGAGGTAACTTTAAAAGCAGCTGGGGGTACAACTGGCTTTGCAGCAGCTGGTGAGGGTTTGCTTGGCTCAGGGGCAGGTTTAGCTTCAATTACAGTTAGCTTTGCCTCTACTTGTTCATCTGCTGCCGACACCTTGCACTCCACAGGGGCAGGAACAGGCACAAACGCCTCTCCTTTCTTAGGCTTTCCTTGTTTGCCAGCTTTGACAACCTTTGGGGTGAAGCGGTTAGCAGAAGCACTACCAGGTGAAGACGCTAGGGGAGATACTAAAGGTGACAGGGGAGTAGTTGAGGTAGCAGATTTTGGTGAGGTGGGTGAAGAAGAAGAGGCAGACATGGAAGAGCGTTTTCTTCTTCCAGGGACAGCCTTTGGGGCAGAAGAACCCTGGGCACTTTTGGCATCTTTGCCTTTGGGTTTTGCAGGGCCTGAAGCTGCCTCAGGTTTCTGGGAGGAAGCTGGGGCAGGAGGTGTAGCTGAATAGAAAAATATTTCTTTAAAGTTTTTGGATGAGAATTTAAGGTCTTACTCGTGCGGGTTAAATAATCATAAACCAAGATGCGATTTGAAGGGTTAGGGAAAACGACACACCTGCCTATCTTCAGAGTTTGATGCAAATTGCCACTCAAAATGCACCACAAATACCAATTATTTCCACACAAAACACATCCTGTGTTAAGTCAAGATGCACTTAGGATAAAACTTGCAATGCAAACATCACGATGAAAACGTCCCACTTGCTAATACCTAAGCCGGAGTACAAATACTTCCCGCAAGCGCTTTAAGGTAGAACTGAACAACATTTTTCAAGAACAGCTTTGTTTTGTGTAAAGTTAATAATTTTGTGATTTCTTTAAGAAGTTAAATAAAAGAAAAACAAACTCCTTTTTGGAAAAGTTAAAATACAGAAACAGGAAAACAATTTAATTTTAAAATAAGTGATGATTCAACCCTAACACAAATCCATCCATCACCTACAAGAGAATGTCCTGAAGGACAGGCAAGCTTCTTATATTACTCTGACTGTACTGTATAAATGCACAACCATTGTGTTCATTTGTACAACTTATGTATCCACTTCTGGAAAATACTTCCCTCGATTCAAAGAGGTACATTTAAAATTGAAGAACGCCTGCTATTCACATAAACCAACCTGACAGGTGGTGAGTGGGGCCATCAGATCTGGAGGTCACCTTTGACTGAATGGCTTTTGAAAGAAGTATAACAGGTTCTTCTTTGTTGGGCTTTTCGTTTTGAATAGCTGTGTCAATGGTCATATCAGCAGGCAACACTTGATCTTGAGCCGTTTCCAAATTCTTCTGATCTTCTACCTCCAACATTGGAGAATCAGTTGCCATCACATCTTCAGTGTTTACAGTGACGCCTTCAGAAGCAGATGGTGTTTTTCCATCTAGGATTTTTTCTGGTATAGCTTCTGGCTCATCTCCAGGGGCATTTGCTTCATAAGAAGCCTGCTTAACTACTTGGAAGACCAACTCTGCAGCAGCAGCAACAATTGACTCTTGACTTTGTGCTTCTTCAGCTGGAGCTGCTACTTCAGCAGGAGCTGCTACTTCAGCAGGAGACTCTTCAGAGGACAACATTGGAGCTTCAGCAGAGGGCACAGACTGTTCAGGAATGGGTACATCAGCTGGAGCAACTGCTAGCTCAGCAGTCACCTCTTTCTGTGAAACAGGTGTCATCTCTTCTAACTGCTTGGTTATTTCTTGGACTGCTGCTTCACCATTTGATTGATCAGCAGTAGCCTGAATGCTAGATTCTTCTGGGAATCCCATTTCTTGAGGAGGAACAGAAGTTTCTGAAGTGTTTTCCATAGGGGTCGTCTTGCTCATTATAGGATCGGTTGTATCAGGAGGAGTAGGAGAATTCAGTACTGCAGCTGATAAAGAAAAGGCAGGTGTAACAAGACAAAGGGAAATCAAAGTAGTTGTTTGGGGAGAAATTCACCTCAGGGTGTACTGAAAACGAACTTGTGCTCCACACGTGAAGGGTAACAATGAGTTTGTGAACAGGTTCTGCGACGAAGAACAGACTCTTGGTTTGCCCATGTTAAAAATGAGTGTTGTGTGCACTCAAAGAAAAAACAAACATTCATGTGTCCCAACTCCATGCAGTGGTTAATTGAGAGGTAAGTGCCAGAAGACCTTCATTATACCAAGACAGTAGACAATGCATGTAAGTAGGTAAATACAATTACTGACTAAAACCCTCAAATCTTGCATCATAACTTAACTTTCAAAGAGTTAACTTAACATCCAACATCATTCTTGAATCATTTTTGAAAGGAATGTTATTTAGAGATAGGTAGGGCTCTATCAAATCAGTTTTAATTTTTCCAGATTGTATTTTTTTTTTTTTTTAATTCTGTGTTTTACAGTTTGTCACCTGGCTAAATATATTCTTTTCAGTACCTTTAAGTGAGTTGATAAGGTATGTTCCATTGGATCAGATCACGGAATTAAGTAAAATCATTTTTACTTAATTTGAAATTATGGAAAATATATATTTTTTGAAGATATTAGTGCCCAGCTCACCCCTGCCACTCTCTGGAACTGGCTCTGGTCCCCCAGCATTTCAATATTACAAACTCAAAAATCCACTGTGGTTAATAAATTTGCTTTATATACTAAATCTGTTTTTTCCCCCCGATTGAGCTTTGACAATGTTAAACATGTAACAGAAGTGTACCACGAGCTGTGACTTGTAAATGAAAAGTTGAGTGTGCATTTACTGCGTGCTATACCTTCAGTGTTTAAATATGACGCAGTGCAGTATAGCAGAGTATGTGTGGAGAAGTTCACAGACTACAGCAGACTGTGGGACAGCTTTACTATCATTAAGTTACATACTGTTGATAAATGCAGACAGTAAGAATGAATCAAGAAGAGTTGAAACGACCATTTGACCATTGACACTTGGTCCATACGATTCACGGAATGTGTTGCACTAAGAGCAAACAGGTGCTCCTGATTTATGGATGTTGAAGATGTTGAACCCAAAATAAGTGACACTGTTACCACTGCTAGCACTGTTTGACTTAACCTGCAGTTTGACTTTAAATGCCATCAATTAATAAAGATTAATTCGGATTCAATGTTTATAAAAAATGAATTAGAAAGGGAAGCTGGAAATTTCTCCCAACAATACATGCGCTTGAATCAGCAGATCAGTTTATTTGGAAGGAGCTAGAGGAAAACCCTGAAGTTAACGCTGATGAAAAGTTCTGCATATAATGATGAAACGTGTAAATGATACATAATGGAGGGATGTAAAGTTTCAATTAGCGTTGATCTTGACTTCCTAACACTTGTAATTTCCTGCTGTATAGACTATTTTTGTATCATTGCCTAATCCATCCAAACAGTATACTTTCAAACATAGAAAAAAAAAATCCATATTCCCTGTATGAATCAGCTATTACCCCTTTTTTTTTGTCTGAACAGCCCCATGTTCAGAACGCTAAACATTACCCAAAGATGTACTCCGTTATGAAAATTACTTCCAAGCTTTGACCATTTGTCTATCCACGTGAATTGGGTAAACATTAAAAGAATACAATTACTCTACAGTAAGATTACACAAAGTTCAAGATAATAAAAAAAAATATGCAACAAAGACTCATCCGAGCCATGGCTATGAAGGTTTAATTTCAGTCTCTGCATATGTGAGTTTCATATCATTCACAGGGAAAACCACATACACATGCATTGTGTGCCAAATCCCCTCGTCAGTGCTAGTTCACCAAACACCAATGTGAGTTTGTGCTACAACAAAAGATGGGTCCTGGATTACTCTATTTGAGACAACTGGGTTATCAACACTACAACCCACCCCCTCCTCCTCCCAAGAGCAAAATCATGGTTACAAATGTCCCAACCCATTGCTAGTGACACTCAAAATCTCTCCGTCACCTGTTAGTTAAACTCAGGGTCCAGCCAGCTGAGTCAACTCCCCATACAACATAATTACACCAATCTTGCAACACCGTCCCTCTTATTCAACAGATAACCGAAATCCAGGACCCTATGGTTAATATTTAGTCATACATGCACATACAGGGGAAAAAAAAGAAAAAGAAATACGAACCAGTTTCCACTTGAGGCTGCTGCATCTCCTGCTCTGTAACAGGGACCGTTTCTGTGGCTTCGCCGGGCATGGTTGCTAATGAGAGGGGAAAAAAACCCAAAACAGTATTTAAGCTTCAAGTGTTACAAGCACCTGCTGGTTTAAAAGCTTTAAGTTAGACACACGGGGATAAAAAGTCTGCGATATTCTGCGTCAGCACGGACTGGTCAGCCCAAACGAGACACTTGACTTGCAGTTGTCGTAGCTGTCTGAACAGGTGACACAGCCCCATGCTTCTTTAACTCAGCGTGCTCTCTCTCTTGTTGACGCAACACTAGCTTCCATTGGCTAACTAGCTCCATTAGCCTCAACACAGCGGCAACTTTCAAGCGAATAACTCCAGTTTCGCCACGACCTTCTCTCATTATTTTTAACGTGTTTAGTTGAAAAAAGCGTGCTGTCACAAAAGACCGCGTAGTATCACTTGTCACAGTTAACTGCGCGGCCCCGACAGTCTGCTGGTAAACTGGTAATCATCATGTTCCCCCATTTTGAGCAGGGTAGGGCACTACAACGGGACATATATCTCCGGCTGGGAGGACTCAAAATTAATAATAGCTGTACGAGCTGGATGGTCCGACTTTACTCTAACACATAAAACAGTTGGTACTCAGGAAAATGTTTAAAAAGCGGCTGGATGTTGATGGATTATCAGCGGAGACACTCACCGACTTGGGGCGTTATATCCAAGATGGCTGTGAAAGAGAAATTCTGACCCCGGCTTTGCAGTGATATCCGGTTTGGAGCAAGGGGAGGGGGGAAGGGGGGGGGGTACTTCATCCGGGTCGTTTAAAGGCACATTCAGGTGATTTTTCTAGCTGTAGTACATTACTTTGTATACGTGTGTTTACAAATATCAGAAAAATTAGCCATCTCCTACAAGAATAAAGTAGTATTTTACCGAGTCAGATCACTAATAAAATAAAATCAATTAATAAAATTAATTCGGATTCAATGCTTATTAAAAAAAAAAAAATGAATTAGAAAGGGAAGCTGGAAATTTCTCCAAACAATACATGCAGATCAGTTTATTTGGAAGGAACTAGAGGAAAACCCTGAAGTTGACTCTGGAGAAAAGTTCTGCATATAATGATGAAACGTGTAAATGATACATAATGGAGGGATATAAAGTTTCAATTAGCGTTTAGCGTTGATCTTGACTTCCAAACACTTGTCAGATCACTACATTTATTTTGAATACTTGTACTTGAGTGAATATATGAACACAAGTGTCAAATTTTGTATTTGAGCATTTGTACAGGTATACTTTAATGCGTCTTTGTACTGTGTCTTTGTCCTTATGTTTACAAACCAGTCAAAGAAATAAAACAGCATCTTACTAAAGTTACACACTTAATACAGCTATGAGCGTATGGAGTTGTGTCCTTTACTCTGTGGTAATTTACACCTTTACTTTACAGATTTCCCTCAAACTCTGTAACATGACTTTTTTTTCCCCGCAGCATTTTCCACAGTACAGATTTGATTTATACTTCATCTCAAGGATCTGAATACTCCCCCAAACCCCAAACACAGGTAATCATTACCGACATGACCAAAACTCCACTTTGTAGCTGTATCAGTGCCAAAAATAATTTAAAGGTTATCTGGCATGTGAGACCAAATTAAAATGCTACATATGTCTGTAGCTGGTAGATGAAGATATAAGGGAATTTTGATTTACATTTTGATTATAGTATTATTAGGTCTCCTAGCAGTGGTACAACAGAATGTAAATACACCTCTAAAAAGTATATTTAGTATCTTGAATAAATCACCAAATTTACTTGTTAAAATACATATTGAAAATAATAACTGCATGTTATATTATGAGATTGTAGGAACTGTGAAAATTGGTCAAATTAGAATTGTATTTACCTCTTTACATGAGACACTAATCTGTGTAAACAGAACTTTAAAGTTAAAGTTTTATAATAAACTGATTTCTACAAAGCAAAAGTACCCAAATAACATCATAGGATTGCAAATATAACTTCTGAAAAATAGAGAACACATTTTTCAAAGACAAGCTGGTGCAAAGGGGAAGAAAACCAAACAAAAATGTAACAGTTCAATCTGCGAAAAAGTCTTCTGTAATTATTAAATATAAATTAGGGAACAAGATTTAATAAGTGTTGAAATACCAAATTTATTTTCACAAGGACTGTACAAAAATGTAGAAAACAAGAAGACAAATATTATAAAATCAGTTTAGAGAGTCAGAGAGTTAGAGAGTCATACTGTAAGGAGAAGATTCATCTTTGTTTTGTTTATGAATGTAAAGGGTCATTAGAGAGTAAAACACTTTATCTAGAAGGTATCTGCTTGAGCCCAGAACGGAGCCTGTTCTGATTGTGGATCCTCTTCAAAATTCTTTCTGAAGATCTAAAAAGGAAGCAAGATAAAAAGATAAAGACTGAAAACATGAGTGAACACACTTTGCAGAAAAACAAATAGCCTACAAAAAGTTGCATCAGGCTCATATCATCATCTGAGAATAAAACTCACCACTTTTCCTGAGAAGTTCTCCTTTCCACGAGCGAGCCATTCCATCGAGGAACTGATCAAAGCATTTCACATACTTAGCCAGGCTTGTTCTCTTGTAATCTGAACAAATAAATCATCAGTGAGTTTCTCAGAGTTTTAGACTGATTATCCTGCTTTCTATTTTTTAATAAAACAACCAAGGACAGAAATCCAATCAATACAAAAAGAAGAAGAGGTGGAAGAGGCCTCAGAAATCTGCTTACGGTCTTCCACATAAAAAAACAAATTCATACTATACATGTATGTATGTATGTATATAAATACATAAATAAAAGGAAACTAAACTGAGGTTCAGCATGTTTCTGATGCTGTCGACCACATGGGCCTCATTTTGAGATGTACATTCAGGATGTTGGCCCGCTCATACCAGGGAAGTCAACGATTCATAGATCAGATTTACCAATGCTGTTTTCACATATGCACTCCTGAAGATATCTAGATAATTGAGGGGACTGCTCCGGAGATTCTCCTGATCACAATTGCACCTCACACCTGTCTTCAGACAGGAGGGGGGGCTGGGGGTCTCCTGAGGTAAGACGTGGCGTAAAAAAAAGAAGAAGTAGCAGACGAAGCAACAGAGTCCGCTACACGACGCTATTATGACAATGTTTGCCTTTATATCAATGCTAAGTGTAGTCCAACGGAATGACAACATCAGCAAAAAAGTGGAGAACTACATACTGGCGGACAGAAAACATAATGCAGCCGTTTAATTGCACGGAGATCGTAGTGCTCGCGTGCAGACACTCTATGCACAGTGCAGCAGTCACAGTATAGAAACGTCACTCCCGCCTCCTATTGGCTCGAGGTGAATTTTTACATGTAGAAAATCCTGCGCCGTTCTCACATCAGCCCACTCGGACTTGCTGCGGGAAAAATAAACTAGGGGTCTGGCCAGAGAAACTCCGGGTGAAGTCCGAGCGAAAAATTCTGCTGTTTGCGTTCACATATACAACCCCCTCCTGGAAATATCAAGAATTTTTCAGGAGATTTCTGGAAGTGTGAAAGCCCTGAAAGATTAGACGACATCTAACAGCAACGAATAATCTGTGCCTTGATCTTAAAGCACGTCATCAGTTTTCTGGGGAAACAAACTAAATCTTTTCTGCTGAGTTGGCATTATTTCATGAGCTTAAAAACATGGGCTTAAGATATGTTCATTATGTAGTAGATATTTTCCCCCATCAATTGACCCCCCCCATTCACTATTAACAAGAATATTAAATTCCCCAAGCAAAATGAAAGTTCATGTGTTTGATGCAAAAAGCCCAAAATTCTGATTTCACCTCTGATCTTTCGTTTCTCTGCTGCGTCCTTCTCATTTTCCATCTCCTTGGCGTCCTCTTGCTTCTCTTCCTCTTCTCCTGCTCTGGGTCGATCCAGCTCCTCACAGATCAAACTTTTAAAAAAAGTCACAAAGTGGTAACATTAGCGCTATCGAGTTTCAAAAACACTCCACACAATAGAGTGCCAGCCCTTAAATGGACTCTTACCTGATCGTGGGCACTGCAAAAGGATCAAATGTATCTAATTCTTTGAGGTCCATGGGGACAGAGATGCGCCCTGAAAGAAGTCACAGTGAGACTTTGTCAGCCGTGTGTTAAACCACACCATCTTAATGAGATTACACTCATGCTCACCAGTTTTGGGATGCACACTGAAGGGGCTCTTTAGCAAGTGGTTTACACCTTTACTGACGTTCACATCCAGCCGGGGATAACAGTACTGCAGCATGATTTCCTTCTCAAAGTATTGGCCCTTTTTTGCAGTTGACTAGAGAAGATAGAGCGTTAATGTTTTGTAATCAGCCCTCGAAAGGTGAAACAAATGTCCTTGTGTAACGAGAGCAGAATTCCAAACCTGTTTCCTGCTGGCTTGGTCCTTGATCAATTTCCACCGGTTCTCTGGTTTCTTCTCGTTCTGGAAGTCCTTCTGTAATTCTTTTCTTACATGTTTGTTCTGAATTAAGGTCAAGTCCAGTTGTGTTCACAAAGCTATGTGACTTTTAACAAAACAAAAACAAGTTCTTATGATCATAAAATATGTTCAGAAAACAAATGCGCAGAATTTTGTAACAAACAAAAAAAAAAAAGGATATCTTCAGGCACCAGTCCCAGCACTTTGTCTACTGATTCCTTGCGACCCAAAATATCCTGTTCCTGAAGCGCGTAGCCGGAAAAGTATCGCTCCACCACTGTCAAAGATTCTCTGTTGACATTGCATGTACAGATTCTTAAGACAGTTGAAGCCACATAAACGCCAGAAGCAACAATCTGAGGCATAAACACTGAAACAAAACTAATCTCAAACTGCCCTCCACAAATAACCCGATTCTTACCTGATGAGAGGATGAATTGGATCTGTCAGCACAACTTTCTTCACTGTCTCTTCACCTCCCTAAAAAAACGTTATCAAAATCATCAAATTTCTGACAAGTTATTGTTATTGATTCATAGAACTTTAATGTCAAACGTGGTCTGAAATTTGTCTCACACCACAGCGGCTCCATTTGCAACACAAAAATTAAGACAAGATACAAAGATACAAACATTTGACACAACATTCAAACAAACCTTATACCACAGTGCTCTTTGCCTTATCACAGGCGACAGATTTCCAACTCATCATTGTGACCGTTATCGTTCTGTAGGCTGATCCTCGTTGAGTCAACGAAGAAAGCAGCACAGTATTTTGTTTATTTACAAGGCACTCATAGGTAAACTCCCTTCTTACCTTACTACTCTCCTGTCCATAAACATATCGAGCCATTCGACAAGGTCTCAAAACTGGATAACTTTGAAAACACCGAGGTTTAGAACTGAATGGGGAAAGACTGCCTTTAGAGTTGCTGCACCCATTATATGGGAGTGGGTCCTCCCTGCTAAAATAAAGGATGAATAAAAAAAATAAAAAAATAAAAAACATTCAGAGGCCTTAAACGTGCTTTCATCTGGGATTCAGCTCCGCATTCAATTTTAGAATTGACTGGTGAACAAAAGAGTGCTTCAGTCTAACCTTCTTGAAACGTGGGACCCTGCATCTCCGGTTTGATGGTATAAATTCTACTATTGTCGATCTCTTCTAAAAACCTATCGAGCAGTCAGTGGGGGAAAAAGAAGATTCATATTCTTCGGTCCTAATCATCTAGGAAACAAGCTAAACCAGTTACCTTAACCAGACTGAGGTATTCTGCAACCGCTGAGCG